CAAATTTCAACCTCATCGGTTCACAAACAAAGGATTCTATAAGCCACATACTTACATACGAACAAATTTACAGAGATTGAGTTTTATTTATATATAGATTTACTAGTCTACAGCCAATGGTAGCCTCAAAGGATGCCCAAGAGTTGATACTCTGAAGGCCAAAGTGCGAGGAAATAGTAAGCATGAGATAATAGATATCGCCCAAAACCCCATTCTCTTTCAACGTGCAAGAGAATTTTCAACTTGCAAGAGAACATTTTCTCGGCAAACTACAAGATATTATGAACATTTTTCATGGAATTTAGGCGTATCCCATGAATATAGCGGGCGGAGCATTTGCAGACATATGAACACGTTAAAAACTTGTTGAATCCTTATTTGAATCTTTATTTTTAAGCAACTTTTCGTGCTGTCTAGTCATCAAGAACCGCCACGTGTACCTATATGTTATCAGGCGTTGGCAATATGCTCCGCCCGCCGTATTCTTGGGAGTGAGTAGACGATATAAAGGAGGTACTGTAACACAATAGAGCTCGTTGTTCGAATTTCTGGCGATCCCCACTAAGAAAAAGCGCCCATTTGCATGAGCTAGTGAAGACTCGACAAAGACAATCATGTCCTGCTGTGTTGATCCTATCTGAGACAAGGTATTGAATGAGAGAAGAAACTAGCAATTCGGGTAGTAGTGACGTCCAGCTTCCTTACCTACCTCCAGCTAAGCAGTCCTTCGAGACTTTTGACTGGAAAAGGTACACGTCTCATTACTAGTGAAGCTGTCAGCACAGCGAACCGTACTAAAGCGAGGACCTTTTTCATACATTCAAAATCTCGAAACGTCGATGCTGCCAGCAAGTGAGCGAGCCCTAGGTCCCGACACGCAGTGGTGGCGCAGCGCGACCGCCCGCGCAGCCGGTTAAGCAGATTTAGATGGCGCCGGACCGGCCATACTTCCTGTGATTCCTCCAATTCCTGCGATTCCTGTGGTTCCTGCGGGTCCCGCAACAATGTATATTGCGGATAAACAATTTATTTTAAAATTCGCAAAGCGCTCCGTAGGGCTGTACATCGGAAATTGAGGACAAAACTTGCAGGAATTACAGGAATCGCAGGAATCACCTCCTGGAATAGTATGGCCGCTCCCATGAGCTGAGGCGGCGCGCGCGACGCAGGCAGTGAAAATGGTACGCGAGCGCGACGTTTGTCGTTTAAATCTTCACTGGCTCGACTCACTGCTTTCTTTATCTGTTTCTTGGGTGTACGTGTCCTACACCTCCATTCTTAGGTTAGTTTCGTTTGAGAAATCACATGATGTTTTTCATATTCTACAGATGATGACGGCACCAGCACCTTTGCAGCTCCTGTCCTTATCGCTAACATAACATACAATATTTGTTTTGATCGCAAGCAATGTGACAAATATGGCCTCATTTTCTTTCTGGTAATAAGTTCAAAAAAGTAAGAAGAGCGGATTTCACACGTTGTTTGATGATCTCGAACTACTCGAATGTTCATCATGCAATGGGCATGTCATCATCTGAATTGCCCTACATAGTTGATACAAGAACTCTAAACGTAACTGATTGTTCAGCAAAGGAGAGATCATGAATACAGAAATGGAGGAAATGCTTGAGCAAAAAGCCAACTTCTGCGCTCGACTGCTATCTCCGCCGCATGCGGGGCGCGCGCGCTGTCTCATTTCGTGGGTTCCTGCGACCGATGGTGAGTGATATGGCATATATAACCTCAACTATCTGGCAATGCTTTTTCGCCACATAGTTTAAAGGACACCGCATGTGGCTGGGGCACGATATTCATCAATGCTTTAGTTTACACCGTTTTTGGCTAAAAAAAAGAGGAGAAGTAGTGGTTTGGTTCGCTCTCTTATGATGATTTTGGAGCGTTCTCTTTATCCAAATCAAAAAGGTCCAAAACTTATGTGAACTTTCCGGTATTTATGCTCCGAACCAACCCAGTTGGTTTGGTGTTGGTCTAGAAACCAACAAATTCGGGAACGGGTACTGGACACATAAGTTTTTAAAACTTTTTAGGTAATGTTGTTCGGAGTAATATTGTATATGCAGGGTGTCCCAAAAAAATGTGAACACTGTTTGATCGTTAATAACTCCGTTAATTTCACGTCTTTCGCCGAGCTTGAGGCATCATTGTGTAAAGCGAGGTTCAACTTAGATTTGCAGTATGGAGCGAATCACCGACCGCTGTACGTTACTGTAGGATTATGGTATGAACTTCTAGCATGTGGATCTATTGTGAAATATGCCATTTGACAAAAGTTTTTTCAAAAAATTTGAAAAATCGTGTACTAGGGTTTTCGTGCATGCTGATTCCATTAGACAACTTTTTACGAGTGTTTTTAGCTTTTTTGACGGTGTAGTCACATTTCTGACAGATGCTGGAAATTCAGTTATTACGGTTTACCTAAGATAACCTTGTAAAGAAGCATCACAGTAAAGTGTGAATTTCATACTGGAAATTAGCGTCCTCCATTACCATAGTATAGAAGTTTTTGGCTTGTTTGGTTTTGTTCCGAGGCAGAATATGGCCCCCAATGGCCCAAAATCCTTGTCGAAATTTCTACCGTAATCCTACAGTAATGAAAAGGGATCGGTAATTCAATCCATGCTGTAAATCTAAGTTGAACCTCGCTCTATAGAATGGTCACACAAGCTCAGGGAAAGACGTGAAAGCAAGGGAGTTATGAACAATCAAACAGCATTCACATTTTTTGGAACACCCTGTACATAGCCCAAATCCGGCGTCCTGTGATTGTTTGTGCGCAGTAAACAAGCCATCTGTTTGTTTGGGTCTTATGTTTGAAATCCGCGCGCTTGCCAAAGAACACGTTCAACTCGTAAAACCTGACATGTTTGTCGTTTTTTTTTCGGTGCTTCGCCCAGGACCTTATAAAAATGTCCGTTGCTTCTAACCTCAAAAGCGAAGTCCAGTTTGACCCCGAACCATCTCTGCCGGGCCCTGGGCGCCACACGGGGAGCGCGTACGCACCGCACGTCCCGAATGTCAGAGCACTGCCTTCAAGGCAAGACCGGTGCCTGCGAAACCAGGCATGCCAGCCAGTGTCATATAAAACCGCGCAGTGGTAAGGGGGAAAGTTTCATAGTTTTTTTACTGATTGCGTTTTGCACATACAGTTCGTGTTAATCACATGCTTCCTTTTCCGTAAGTGAGCTTCGCGCCAAGTTCGCGCGCGTATGGCATTCAAATTAGCCTTGATTGGCGGTCCGCGCGCAGAGCCCTTCTCAGACAATCGCACCGGCCGGCGGCCGCACAAAGACCGGCTGGTGGGACCACAGTTAATTTCACTCAACCGCGTAGTCTACGCCCGCCGGCAGGGAAGGTACGGCCGCCAGCCGGAAAGGTACGGCCGCCAGCCGGAAGGGTACGGCCGCCAGCCGGTGTATACCGGGCAACGGCGCAACAGACCGACAACAGAGCGCGTTCTTTCTCATACTCTAAGTCGCGCGATTACCGGCCGCTAGAGGTCTGATTCTAGTAAAAGACAGCTAATGGAGCACGCTTTCTACTGTTTTTGTCGTCATCCATCTCTATTCACTTTAACATCGGTTTATCGTGATTTTGTGCAGAAATCGTCCACACTAAAGTTTATTGGATTATTGAATAGATTATAGAAGAATTGCACTCAATGATTATTGCAAAATATGGCAAAAATATGGCAAAATATGGGATAAATTGGGAAAAAACTTCTAGATCATGGGAATGTCATATAAGAAATGTAAAGGCAAAGAAAATTATTATCACCAACGACGCCCTGGGATGCAATGAGAATCGAAAATGGAGTTTTTGTTGTTGTTTGTTGGCAATTCAAGAAGTGATGCGCACTCAAAAGTAAGCGAAAAGCTGGCAAAAGGGATAAAGTGAAAATGCGTGATCCAACCGAGGGCGATGAAATATCTTTGCTGCTTGATGATCGCATTTTATACTTGTTTTGTTTCCTCATCGTCTCGACGCTGCCTTCTGTAATGGCAAGTTTACTAGATAACGCAATTCATGGGAAGCAAAATGCATGAGAAGCTTTGGGGAAATCGCGTTGCCGCGATACTCTCGCCCCACCTCAGTTATCCGGGAACATTCGTAGTTCCTCGCAGAGGCGCTCGAGTTTGTTTTCAGCGGAGCGGAGGGCTTCCCGTGCGCGTTCCAAGCGTCCCCGTACTACCTCGCTTCTTTCTAGGAATTCGTACACCGCGGAATGATGTCCATAGTTTCGGCAATGGTAACGCGGGTTGGTCCATTTTCTACACCTCCCGCCTCCAGGATAAACGATCAGAAGAACCTTGAAGCACATGTAGCAGCGTCGCTCCGAGTTCAAAATACGCCTCCTTGATTCTGAGTCCGGACCTGGGGGGCAGGAGTCCGAATAGTGCTGGCCGGCGGCGTCACAGAAGGCTCAGCGCAAATGCCTTTCACTTTCTCGGTGGATGACTCCGTATTGAATGCGCCGTGGGGCGCATGTCGGGCGCTCTTCCAATTCTTCAATGAGCATGCGTGAATCACTTATGGCTTGTTGCGTTTGGAGAGATTGAGTGTGAAGCTCTCGTTTCATTCTCTCATTCTGTTCTTCTGCTTCTTCGTCTTCTTCTAAGTCATCGAGTATCTCTAGCACGTCTTCGCCTTCATGTGGTCGAGGTTCCTCGATGATTAGGATGTCTTCTTCTTGTTCAATTTCTCCTTCTTCTGCCTCGGCGGCGTTGATCATTGAAGGGCAGAGTTTGCAAAAAGCCCCTCATTTTGATTTGGAAACAAGAGATAAGGAAAAAAGAAAGGTTTGCAAAAACACTCAGAAAAAGATTAAAGTTGATCGAACAATGCGTATGAGAGTTGAGGAGGTTCCACTATCGAGGAAGGCATTCAAAGGTTTCGAAAAAAGGACGGTCGGCAAAAGGCGCCCATGCTCGATAGCGGACTCACAGAAGCATGATATTTTAAATAGAAAATCTGCAACCTACCTGCGATTGCCTTCGACGGCCCTGGTTCTGCTCCGCTGGATTCGATGTCGGGCAACCCTACAAGCACACTCTACAGTGAAACTATGTAAAAAAGTATACAAAGAGTGACCAAGATTAGTTTACCTCTCCCTCGTTCAGCGGCCTCTAGAAGTGGTCGAACATGCTGGATCTCGAGCTGATGCTCACGGATTCCTTGCTCGAACACTCCTGAAAGTAATTTGTTGATACACACAGCTATACATTAACTATACATACATTAACTTACTTCTATGTATGATTATCACGCTTCGGAACGCGCGCCAACCTGACATCATTATGCAAACATGTAATTACAAGATAAGTAAAAGATCAAATAAATCACGAAGGAACGCGAGTTGCACACTAGAGATATGACGGTACCTAAGTAAGCAATTTCATCGTAGAAAGAGCAACAAACAAGTTCCAAATCTGGATTGGTTCCGATATCCTGAGGTCACGATGTTGAAATTGTGGTATTCATGCACTAGATGTCGAAATTGTTTTGACATCTAATGCACTGTAGAAGCGATTTTGTGCAGCTCGCGCGCTTTTGCACAATAGAGCGGCCGCCGGCCGGTATTTAGCTCCGCCCAGATTTAAAGAGCGGCCGCCGGCCGGTGCAAGTGTCTGAGTTGCATTGCGCATGCTAGGTCCCATGCGAAAGGGAGTACGTAATTGACATCGACTGTATCTATGTATACTACGTATTGCCTTCCGCACCGGCGCTGTGGACATTCCGCTCCCCCCCCCCCCCCCCCGGTTCGAACCCCACCCCACTCCCCCCCCGCTCAGGCAAGCAACTGCCGTCTAATGACAAATATTGTCTGCGGCTACGACACACCATTTGCGCGGAAGTAAATACTAGAACAATTCAAGTGTTCGCTTGGCATGCTTTTTCCTTCCTCAATGTAACGACTTATTATTCAATATTCTAGTGCCAGGTCCCACAGGATCTTTGCGTTTTTCAACTAAATATCGAGCTCTAAATGGTGAAGTCGACGGGTATCTTGGATAAGACCTTGAGCAAAGGAAAAAATGAGGTACTCCATTTTCAAGAGATTCGAATGTTTGCTTAGGTTTGGTACTGATATTCATCTCAATTTCGAAATGTTCATTCACAGAAAGTTTTTTGCTTTGTTAAAGGTTCCTTATTGTCAGCTGGATTAGGTGTCACTGTTTGGACATTCTCCTTATATGTATCTTTTCGGTTTGCAGTATAAGTTCCAGTCGAATCGCTTTTCTTGGTCCATTAGAGAAGCATTAATTCTTCTATGGATAACTCTTCCTCCTTCTTTTGACATCTATTACGACGTATAAATTCGAATTTAGGTGAGCCTCTCCGCTTTCGCTCTTCTTTTCTCCGAAGTTGTGAAATATGCTCAGGAGCGGTCTGAAACTGTCACGGATATTCACGACAAGTAACTGTAAACTTTGTAACTTTTCTGTTCCTTTGGTGTAATGCGGCTGTTGATAAAGAGGGTTGTTCTAGGCTTGCATCGTATGGGAAAATTGTAGGAATACGATTGCTGGATGTTGTTACTTTACGGGAGAAAGGGTACCGAAGAGAGACCAAACTCTTAGGTGGGAATGAATATGCTGTACGTAGGGTTTCATCTATAAAAGAACTTCAGGTATGTTGATGTTCATAAAATCTTCTGTCTGGAAAAACCTATTTGGGAAAGAAGCTGACAAATTGGAACGCTCTAATGATGATCAGTGTACATGTAAGTTCTGGGTTTCTGTTGTTTTTTGTTCATAATACTCTAATTCCACGCGTATAAGACACCTCTTTTTCGGTTTTTCAAGCGTGCCGCTCAGTCGTCTCGTGTTTCGGAAACTGAGACTCATGCCGCACGATACTCTCACGCAATTTGCAGCACTATAAATAGTTTTTTGATCTCGAAGTCCTTTGGCGTGTCTGTGCTGTTCGATTTTAGAGAGAAATCCCCCGCGTCATATGCGCGTGAAATTAGGGTACATGGAATTCTTTCATTCTTGAAAAAAATTTGCGATAAGAATATATCTGGGTGTTTTAGTATGATTTGAAAATGTGTGCTTGAATGACTGTCATTCTAGGTAGCTTCGATATTCTTTATCAAAGATAGAGCAGCTGTAAACATGCTGGTGTTTTGCAGAACTTGGTAGGCATAGTAGTGAACGACAGGCGTCTAATCTTCAAACGATGGTCATTAAAATCGAAAGCTTTTGCGATATACAAGTCATGTGCTATCTGTACACTATGAGATTAACTCAGATGTCAGAAGTGTCCTGATCTGTTTTCAGATCTTTTAATCGAAAAGGAACCTGTGGTGAATACATTCATATCTGTTCCAAAAGACAAAGGGATGTTGAACTGTGCCGCGTTTGTTGCTGGTATCATCCAGGCCATGCTTGAGGTACCAAACGTTCCATTTATACCGCAGCACAAATACTGACTGCAGGCAAGTAACTTCCCATGCCAAGTTTCGGCTCATTGGTGGAATATTGGCACGGCTTACGTAATCCGCTTCGATGAAGTCGTGATCTCTCGCGAAGCTGCGCTTGTGGATGGCTCTCGGTAAAAGAAATGAAATGTGCAACATTATTTTTGTCATAATATTTCAAAGTAAATTATTTATACCAATAGCGTGTTTGAATGCAAGCTGCCTTCCTGGCCGTTTTGGTACCTACCTTATACGGGTGACTATCTATAGATAATTATACACAGCGATGCTTCAGGAGTTTTCAAAATGAAGTGGACACGGGTTATGAAAGCGATCATGAAGATTACAAAAAGGACCAACTCGGTAGGCCAGATATGCAGTCGGTTAGACACTGTTTTTGTATGCTGCAGCATAGTATAGTTGCTTTCTTATGTCGTGGTAGTGCTGAGAGGACTTTTCGTGCGCTATACACGATAGCATTTTCTGCATTCTCTTTTCGTCAAATGTCTTATTAGTGGTGAAATTTGGCAAAATGTGGAGGCCAACCGATGTCCAGTTCGGGCAGATGTTGAATTTGCCTCGGTTTGCCTCGCTATACGGTGAACAGATGGGCAACGATGTTAACGAAAATGAAAAGTGCAGATAATAGGCGATTTGGACGACGACCAAGCTGTAAATCATGCTACAATTTCTCGCCCTTCATATTCCACTATGTTCTGAATGCGTTCATCCAACTTTTAGATTGCGCAAAAAAAGGGGCGGATGCAATGTTTTGATGGAGATGCGAGTAAATTTTCATAACCATTCGACTCTCCTCATTGTTGTTTGCTCCAACACTATCTCTGAAACACGGCCTCTAAACTTTTTATCCATGTGGCTTTGAGGAGTGGCCACGTATCACATCGACTTGAGATAGGTTTTTTATCTAGTGCATCTTTGATCCCTTGAACCAAAGCATGGTTGCAGAAAGTACAGTCATGCTGTTTAACTTTGCAGTAAAAATTCACGGCAGGGTTGTCGGAAGTCAAAAATCGTGGAATTGCAATTAATGGCGATTTCGTGAATATTTCGATCAGTTCTCCCCGAAAGTCGTCAAACTTAGCAATTAGTGACTTCAGATAACTAGTAAGCTAGAAGAATTTGTCTGGCATGTTTGTAACACTTGCATAGCTCTAAAGTGCGCTATTGAATAGGTGATTTTGGAGAAAGCGCGACTTGACTGTCTCCCTGGAGTCGATGGAAATGTTCTGCGTTAAAATTGCTACTGGCCGTTCGATCATTGAAAAAAAATGTCGTAGGTAACCAACTTGGAGGAAAAAAATGAAAATTAGAAATGGTACGAAAAGTGATCAAGAGGTGAGGTAAACGTGCCATGGAGTCGCTGTTGCTGATAGTGAATGATGCCGGCTAACACTGTGGTTTTTCCTGGATACATTTCAAATATGCGATTTTCTGCAAGAGTCCAGAAGGAACAAGGAGCAAGAAATCACGTCGTGGCAGTGAAAGCCTTCTTGTTGTCTTCCTTCAGCGCCTCTATCTCTTATCATTCGCAAAGATTTTTCTTTGTTTGTCGGTGAAGGTGTCATGCGTATTGCAATAGCACCTTTCACGAAAAATTTACATGTATAGCATATTTGTCGAGATTGAGCCTAATTAAAATTTTGTGTGAGATGGAGATTCGCATATAAGTTAATCATCCTATCACCTGATACACGCAACTTTCGCGTAGCATTCAAATATCCTAGAAGTCAGTTCACTTGTACCGAGTTCGGTTCTGCTCAGGAGGGATGCGTAGTTTAAGCACTGTTTCTGGTATTAAAAAAACCTCGCTCAGATGTCATCACAAAAGCTTTGATTTCAATGGCAAACGCCGTAATAACATACTGAACACAATTTTGAAATCTAAAACTTGCTTCTTGCCTTGCCTCGGACGTGCACCGTTCCAGCCAGCTGTTTTTTGAAGATATGTCTTTTTTGCTTATGGAAATAGTTAGCAGTATGTCGTAACTTCAACAAAACTGTAGTTTTCTCTCTGAGAATAGTACACAAGAACAGGAAAGCTAATCGTAAATTTGAAGAGTTCAGCTCCTCTACTTTCCATTACCGGCTCTTTCCGCAAGGTTTTTTTTTTGAGATTGGGAAAGATAGCATGAAAAGTCCGATTTTGAGTTCAGGAAGTTTGGAAAAAAATAAATGCAAAAACAAAAAAGGAATCATATATTAAGTTCTATCCAGCCAGCTATTCTTTGTGTATTGGTTTAGTAGTCTGAAAGAGTTTGCTGAAGCACTGGAATGCTCATATTTCGTCAGGCAAGTTGAGATATCGCATTGAATACGAACAACTTGTGTCTTTTATATCACAAATTGCGATGCATAAAAAGACAGCATTGAGCGCAGAGAAGCTTGGTCAATGAGTCCATTAAGAATGATATAGCTAACGCAAACATTACCCGCTTTCAACCTTTCTTCTGTCTTCAGCTTGAAGGGGGACTTCGGAAGGTTTTAACTGGGCAGGCTGGTGAAAGGATTTTCATTGTAGACTCACGAAATAATCAAGTTGGTGGTCCTGGAAATTCAAGCTATGATACGCATCTTCCCTTAACCATGTTTTGAATTTTCTTGCCTTATGCTTGACATATTATCAATAAGCGTAAGTGCCTTATGTTTTGCCGATTGAATCACCTGGATGACCTTGCTATGACTAATCAGCTGAAAAAAACTTGTTTCTGGATGGCGAAACACGCTCGCTTAGCACTCATTGCCATTGCTGAAATCTCTTCATGACCGAGGTAATATAATCCATCTTCTTTTTTTTTGTTGATCGAAGTCTCAGAGCGAGATTTGTTTTTATTAAGAATTTTCCATGATGATTTTTTACCCTAAAATGCCACCGCCCTGAATAATTTTTAGGTTATTCCCCTACTTCCCTTGAAGGCAGCGGCTCGGCAGAATGATAAGTTTGGGATGTTCATCGTTCTCGGTTCCCCTGAATGAGCTAATTCCAAGGTTGTGCCTTGCAGCTTCAAAAGGTATGAAAAACCCGCTTTTTCAGAAGTTAAATGTATTTGGGCGGACGGCGTATGCCTGCCCTCGAGCGCGATTGGCTCAGGTACGGTAGAGTGTATCCACTCACAAGCCAATCACGCTCTAGAGAGCAGGAATACGCGGTCCGCCCAAATAGCATTTTCCACGTCTGGAAAAGCGGGTTTTTGATATTTTTTCTGCAAAGCACAGTGTTGGACTTAGCTCATTCAGGGGAATTCAGAACGATGAATATCCCAAAGTTGTCATTCTGTCGAGTCGCTGCCTTTAAAACCATGGTTTGGCCGAGCAGTCACGAATGGTCAATCGCTATTCAACCGATCTAGCATTTCCGTGCAAGCTCGTGCTTGCCTAGCTTGTGTCCGTGTTTGAACTTTCATCTTACGGTTCTTCTGTACCATTTGATATAAACAGAGCCTCTCATCAAAAAGCTTTTTATGTGCGTAAATGGTATTGCCTTCCACGAGTGCTTTATTGAAACTTGTATCGAGCTATAGGCAGGAAGCATATCTTGAGAATTTTCTCATGCAAGAAGAGAGGATTTTGCACTATGTTACAGCCATCAAAATTTTGAAAAAAAATGAAGGTTTCAGTTCAAATCTCAACGCATTGCAACCGTCCCTGAATACCTTCATCGCCATCTCTTTAATACTGATGTTCCGTCCACATCAACGGCTCCCTCTTACCATATAGAATTACCCACGTTGAGATCAACCTCTCTTCAGGAGCACTTCAGGTTGGCACTTTATTGGGTAGTTTATAGCTGACTATTGAATTGCAGGATAATCGCAAAGGAACTGACTGAGAAATACAGGGAATTGTTAGATGCAGCAACGGCAATTCCTCTGCAAGTTCCAAAGCCGGCTCATTGGAGGTTTGAAACGGGATGGACGAGATATGCTCACAGTGGTGTGGTGGAGAAGGTGAACACAGCTGCAGCTAGAAAAATTAGAGCAGAACGGCCACTTTTCCGTGGCTGTCAAAATTTTTCGGGGCACTACAGAAAAAACTTAAAAGCCAGAGGCTTGCTGTTATCATTGCCATCTGAAATTATTAGGAGTTATTTGATGACAAGACAGCTGTCGCCAGAAAAATCCCCTTTTACGTCCAATTTTTTAAAGGAAAAAGACCATTTTTTTCAAAAGAAAAAAGGCTATTCTTCTGAAATGGAACACAGTTTTTTTACATTTTACAATCTATATCATTTTGAGTATAGAAAATGTTACTTGCAAGTCTCATAAATCATATCGTTCACCAGGAATTTCGCAGTTTGCTGCCACTTACCTAGGCATCATAGTTTGAAAGGTTGCAGTTTCTACAAAACCCGTTATCGAAACAGATGTACAAAATAAATGACCATGTTTGCGCGCACAACTCGTTCGATCTCGCCGTTGCTCCGCCCTGCTTGAAGCTGACCAGTAGTAGCCGATGTGCTGACCAACCAGGGCGCCACCTTTCGCGCACGTTTGAAGAAGCGCTTGCATGCATAGCATTAAGATATTCCGCAAATTTTTTGCGGTGAACATTATCATCTTGGACCTTTTCAAATATTCTTACATTTCTGATCGTGCTGCTCTGTTACGAAAAAGGGCAGTCATTAAGGCGTTTTTCTGCACCAAGCGTACTTGCGGGTGTACAACCCGAATAATATGATCGGAACATTTTTGAAATGGAGATTTTCGCTAAAGAAAAGTCATGTAGCCAATCTAGGTGGATCATCCTTGCGAGGACGTATTCTTTTTTGACGTGGAGACTTGCGTGCAAGATGGCCAGCTCGCCACTTTAGCGGTTGCCCTCTCTGAAGCAGCTTGGTAAGATCTTTTGCATAAAGAGCTCTACGAATAGATGGCGATTGTATTCAGGTATTGCTGGTGCAGTGATCGCCTTGTTAATGACACACCCATGCCAAATGCTGTTCGTCTTGAGCATCTCATACCTCTTGGAGGTAAGCTGGAGTAAATTTTGCATGACGTATTGCAAGTATATAACCATCCAGGCTCTGACCAAGCACGCATTGTTATTGGACACAATGTTGGATACGATCGAGCGAGAGCGAGGGAACCTTACTTGCAAACGGTAGAATTTTGCCTTACTCGGTTCTAGTCCGTTATGAAGAAAATTCGAGAAAAGAGTCTCAGCATCGCAAATTCTTTTAAACCGTCTCACTCTTTGTGGTTCTTATGAAAAGTATATAGAGTTCGTCTCACGCTAACTACAATCTCTCATTGCCATATAACAGAACTTCAGGACAAAAGGCGGAGATGCGAACGTGCTGCCAAAAATTCAAACATTGAGTCAATTTTTGAATATTAGGACAGGAGTAACTGCAATAAATTTGTCCCTTCTAGTTTTGTCCTACGCTGCTATTGGGTGAACCTAATTGTCTTTCATGTAGCGCTGGGAAAACAACTCGAACTTTTTCTTTTAGTCATCGCTGAATCTTTTAGAAAACAGCCATACGTTTCATGGATACCATGTCAATGACAATTCCAATGTTTGGCATGGCCGATCATCAGGTGGTTACTTATGAAACGGACGACTCGGATTATACCTTGCGGGTAGGTTGCCGTGAAGATGTCGTGGAATTTGCAGTATTGAATAATTCATGGAAAGTGTAGGAAAGGCGATCTGAGCGTTGGCGAGATGCATGGGATGATCGAGTTTGTCGAAATTCGCTGTTAGCAGTCCATCAGCATCTCTACCGTGATGAGCATCGCATAACGAAAGAAGCGAAGAAATACCAGGAATTTTTCGTGAAAGAAGATTTGAACAGTATTCGACAGAATTTCCAGGTCAGCTCGCAATGACAGGTGCGATTTTTGCTCAGCCACAGATTTCAGGTGCTGGTCAACTACTGTGCTGATGACAACTTAATATGTTCACAAATTTTCAAAAAATTGTGGCCTGAGTTTCAGAAAAGGTTGTGCAAAATTTTTTTTGATACGTGGCTTATCCTTTGATTGCAAATACCATCGCTAGATCGCTAGCTTCAGTGCTTATTGTCTTCAGGTTTCCTCACCCGGCTACTCTCTATGGTATGCTCAACATAGGGAATGCATATCTGCCTATTAATGAGAATTGGGAGATTTTCTTCAAAGTAAGTAGGAAACTTGCTCAGAAACTCTAATCACGGATATGGTTCAGAAAAACGAAAAGACTAGTGATGAGACGAAAGAGGCTGGCGCTCGAGCTCTAATCGCATCCGCTAAGGATATAGTGAGTGTGCTGAAACCGGATCCCGATGGAGTTGTAGTAGATGCATGGCTTTTCGATGCCGACTGGTCTACGAAGGGCAATAAAGAATTTCCTGAGTAAGCGAAAAGCGTAAAATCTTATATATAAATGCTTGAAATACTTCAGATGGTTTTACAAGCTGTTTTCCAAACGTGGAAATGTTTACCTAGATTTTACCTCTCTATCTTGTGAAGATGTGGTCATGAAAAGTACACTGGTACCTTTGATATTCGGTGAGACAAGAGAATTAGTTTGTTACGTCTGCTCAAACTTGCCTTTGAGGAATGACTTATGGTCCATATCCGCTGCACAGATCGCGCACGCTTGGTTGGGGATATCTGGCCCCGAACAAAGCAAAAAGTCAGTGGTTTTCCGCTTTTTAGAATAAATGCTTACCTTTCGTTTATAGGTTTCGATGCTGGTGAACAAAATCAGATACTCAAGACGTTGCAGTAAGTGACAACCTATTATTTTGATCAGGTTCATGCCCGAGTTTCATTCAGCTATCTATTTGAGGCAGCATGAGCATATCTGTGAAGTGATTGCAAATAATGAGAGCGAATTTGGTGAACTCACTCCTGTTGGTAGAGCTCACAACTTTGGATCTCTACTCTTCTACCAGCTTACACATCCGGTGAGACTATCATCAGTTCGAGATATCGCCTTATACTTCATGATCCGCGCTATCAGGCTGTAATGTTACTGTAATCCCGGGTGACTTTTCTAAATGATTATTGTAGTTTTAGATCAGAACGTGTAAAAGGGTGCGACTTCATTCTTAAATTACCTTAACTTCATTTGTGTTGCTATAGTAAGAAATAGGTGATAACGGAGAAACGGAATAGCGCAAGTAGTCAAGATGTTCATCTGACTTCAAAACTACTTGGCTGCTCCGCTAAGAATATCATTAAGGATATAGGTAAAATACAAACCCCTTTAATTCCTATAGATACCAGTGGCGTACCCAGGAGGGAGGGCGCCCCCCTCCTCCCGAGAATGGGTCGCAAAATTTTTGAAAGTTGCTTAGTTATAAAATGCAGAGGACTTGTTTTTACTTGTAAATAATTCAAATGATTTTTGAAAATTTTTAAAACAAATTAGCCTTGTAAAAAAATTTTTTCCGGGGGTGTGGCTTCCTCCACGCCCCCTTTTTCTGAAATTTTGGGGTCAGGAGCCCGGAAAAATTCTGGGAAACATCCCAAAAATTTTTCGGAGTGCGTGGCGTCAGCCACGCACCTTCATTAAAAAAATTTTTTTTGTTCCTCCCCCCCCCCCCTAGCCGAAATCCTGGGTACGCCACTGATAGATACCTATAATCCCCCACAGTGGCGTACCAAGAGGGTAGGGTGGGGGAAAAATGTGCAAGTGACTTTTTCACTTGTAAAAATTTAATTTATTTTTGAAAATTTTTGAAAGTTTAAATTAGCCAAATTAGTCAAAAAAATTTTTGCCGGCTGCCGCCACGCCCCTTTTTTGAAATTTCGGATTTGGGCCTGCAAAAATTCTTGGGAGCACCCAAAAATTTTTCGGAGTGCGTGGCTGACCCACGCACATTATTATAAAACAAGGAAAATTGTCTTTTTTATCATAAAAGTAGCCGCAATAGAGCGTTTTATGTGGCCAGTGTCCACAAATCTGGCAAGGGAAGGATACTTGGTTGGAGTGGCGTTTCTGTATGAAGCGTCACGATCACTGTCAGAGCGCTTATGTAGTCACCAGTGCGTCACCTCTGCTTCGCAGAGGCTCGCACTGGTCCTACTATCTGCACGCCTTACTCATTCCCGCACCATAATGACATTGAATCTCACCGCGCTATGCCGACTATCAATGATTTGTAAACAACTATTCATTCCAAAAGCTTTTCCATATAAGATCGGTAACTCCGCTTGAATGTAACTTTTCCCAAAAGAACAAATGCAAATTTGAGTCGGTTTTTGGACTTTTCATGGCTTGGATTTCGCCATAAGATACAATAATCACCGTGGGTTACAACTCTGTGCAGAAATCTTCTCAAATGATTGGGTAAGATCTTGGCAAATTGAACCTAACCTTTTTGGCGCCGTGTTCGCAAAGTAATAAACTTTAGTTCAGTTTTTTGGCTAAAGACCATTGCTTGCACATTATCTTGTCAAACATAAAAGCGACTTCGCAAAAAGTTGTGCTACAGGCTCAATTTTAGTGGCCAAAAGCAATGTGGATCCGATTGACGCGCCTTTTTGAGGGCTCCACACAACGGATTCGCTCGTGCTTTTGTATAGTGGACTCTCATGTTGGTAGCATGCGCTGTGCAAAATTTGGGCTCAGAAGGTTGGCTGGAGTACGTTCTACGAATTTCGTGACAGACAGACAAACTTACACACACACACAAAAACACGTAAACACCCTTAGCCCGTTATTATAAGTTATGATTTTTGTCCCCCCCCCCCCCCTCCACCCCCTCCAAAAGATGCGATTGTCATCTGAGTCAGGTGCCGTTAGCTCTTCGCCATTAGATGACCAAATTTGAATCTAAGGATACTTTTAACTTATCTCAGCGGATCTCCTGAATATATAAAAGTGCCTTACTGAATATGGTAGTTTTGCTGGTGGCGAGGTGATCTTCTCGCTTATGCCAAGAAGCAACATGGAGACTGATTGTGAGTAGACTTGTAGTAGTTGTCGGCTTCGAGATCGGAGAATCGCCAAATCGCGGACGACTAAAATCACGCAAGGTATGCTCGGGATCTTAGGCGACCCTCGCGTCTTTTTTACGCAAATGATGAGCGGTATCGTATGAAGCAAAGGACATGTCGAAGCGATTGCTTTGATTACATTCTTTGCATAAGGGTTACTGTGGCAGAAACTCAGCTTTTGGCATGCTAGTTACTTACATGCGATTGAGCGAGTCACTGATTTTCTCACTCAACGTCTTTCAGCTCGGTTCGCAGAATGTTGGTGACCCTCTGGGCAAGCACTTCCTCCGACTAATCGACTCAAAAGTGCTGCGTCCGACCAGATATACAGATCAATTCTTCGTTCTTCTGGAAGCTCTGAAAAGCACTAAGTTTTGGACCAATTATAAGTACGTTTTGTTTTTTTCTCTTAGATATGAAACTCAGCATTATTCCAGTTTATACAGGATGGGCACCCATCTGTATGAGCCCAGCGCAATCAAGACTTTTAGAAGTCTTTTTTGACTGTCGTAGATTTCAGAAGAGGATTGTAACAATCAAAATGTCTCAGTATGATCATATGGCGTACATGATCTTAAAAACAATACCCAGGCAAATCGTCATTCTTCAAGTTTTCTGCCTCATCTGAGCGCGTAGTGCTAAACACGATGGTCCTCAAAGCGCGCGGCAAATTAATTTCCGCTCATTTTAAGAAAGTTTGTACAAAAGCTTAGGTTGAGACATACAGGTGGTAGAGGCGCGACAAAAACTCTGCACCGCTCTTTGGCATATTATTGATGGAATATATGTAAAAAATACCGCAAATTGTACCTTTGTCTTGTCTGCATCCTATACTATCAAGGCTAAGCCCTTGTCTACCCTCGTCAGATTGGGGCTCTCCAAAACATAGTATTGGCAGCAAGCTCGCGTAATACCCCCAAGTTGCTCGGAGATTGCCTTCGAATATCGGTTGTAGTACCGTGCCTTCAACATTTCTTATCTTTCTGGAGGAACTGGAAACCATTCAGATGCACTTTCATTTTTGTAAGAAAATATATGGTTTTCTTGAAAATAATTGATTTTCAGAAAACGTTACGAGTCTGAAATTCCTGTTTGGTACAATTCCACTGAAGGTTCGCGTGTTGGTGCCATCGCTCCAGCTATTGTTCCATCTGGTACCGTCTCACGGAGAAGTGTCCACAAGCTATGGGTTACTCTCACTAATGAGTCTGTGAGTTATCACGTTTAGTCATCAAAATCTCGCAGTCAGTTGGGACTGAATTTTGTATTGTAGGGCACGAACAGAATTGGAACAGGAATAAAGAGCCTAGTGCAGGCTCCAGAGGGAAGTGTTCTTGTTGGCGCTGATGTCGATTCGCAAGAACAATGGTTAGCTGGTCTATTCGGAGATGCAAGCCATGCTGGAACACTTCGTAAGAGCTTTGAGTCTACACACGATGATGCAAACAACGTTGTGAGTTGCCCATTTTTAGCAGTATCAGCGCGCCATCCCGGGCTGACTCCATTCAGTAACATGATGCTAGCTGGCTCCAAAGCTGAAGGTACTGATCTTCATACGGTGGTGGCAAACCAGCTACACATCGACAGAGGACAAGCGAAGGTCATTCATCACTTGATACAAAAATCGTAGTTGATAGGAATAGTTCAGGCACTAAACTACGCCCGCATGTATGGTGCTGGAGAAGTGCACGCCAGCAAGACTTTGGCTCAGGCGGGGATGGAAAGTAGTCGTGCGTATCAAACTGCCAGAGATCTTTTCAGAATGACCAAGGGCACAGAGAGTTGGTAAGCAAGATTTTGAGTCACAGGATTATTTTGCAGGCTGCGTCTGGAATTGCCCATCTGCCGGCGTCGTTCCAGCGCCGTGCCGAACCGCCGCCGGCGCCACGTGTTCATCGATCGACGTTCTGGCACGATGCTAACGCGGCGCTGGAACGGAAACGCTAGAGCTTGATATGAAAGTAGTAAAAAGGAGTCGGGATAGCCGATTACATACTTCAGTTACTGTCATGCAGCATCAATGAGAACTAGCCCACTTTTGTAGTGGCGCAAATGTTTTTGGTACAAACTCTCTGTAATCATTCATGTTCGATGGTGGTATAAGTAACTAACTCAAAGTGGGATTTCAGCTGGAAAATGTTGAAACGTGAAGCACAGCCATTGCTGAGAGCATTCGTTGAAGAAGAGAAAGTCTCGCCTGATTATCTCACTGTTGATGGCAACTTCTATGTACCCACTTACGATAATAAGCTGAAGTAAACTTTGATTGTTTGTCGGGATGTGTGTGTATTGCTATCCACATTTTTAGGGCTCTCACAACCAAATTTGAACAGTGGGTGCTTTTGAAAGCGCAGGAAAAGGATTCAAGTCTATCTGAAGAGGCTATAATTACGTCGCTATACGAAGATTTTGCTAATGATGTTCGCCTTTTTAGCGGTGGATAGTAAGTCATGTTTTTATTTCCTTTTCGATATGCTTCGTCACACTGATATTTAACACAGTGAGTCGGCCACATTCAACTTCTTGGAGATGCAGACGCATCGTGACATACTGCGCACGCCAGTGCTAGATTGTCGACTGTCCGATGCACTGTCTGCACTTCCGGAGGGCACTCCGGATAGGGACCAATTTGCTGCCAAATACAAGCGATCTGTGATGAATTGGGTAAAGAAACAGTAAAAGAGTGCAATACAGTCCATCCCATTCTACTTCTTTAGCTTGTGCAATCGTCAGCAGTTGACTTCTTGCATTTGCTGCTGGTATGTATGGAATGGCTTTGCAACGAGTACTGCATTCCTGCCCGATTTGTGATCTCTATACATGATGAGGTTTTTAGTGTTTTCTTCTATCAAACAAAAAAAAATACTAGAATTCTTTCAAGTCTAAAACGTTTTTAGGGGGAATTATCTGTCATAAAAAAACCATAAGCTTACATTCTTCTAGTAGGCATTTATTAGATCTTTAGAATGTGGCTACCGGCCGTCATTTACTGCACAGGCATTTTTCTTGAGGGTTATGTTATCTTCATCTTACAGCAATATGTACACCACAAGTAAGCTATACAAGAGCAACTATAACTTTAAAGATAGCCTCGAGATTAGGTATCCCTTTCTAAAACATCCACTCCTTTTTGAGCGCTTTGGATTTCATTTCTGTATTCGCTAATATCTAGGCATTCTGGTGACACCAGAATGCCTAGATATTAGCGACAGGAACCAGCTCAAAAAAGTTTGTGTGCCAGCTCTTCTTTTAGACGAGATGTAAAGTGGGGGGCAGGCGTTATGGAGCAAAGCAGCGTTGCGTTGCGTCGCCTTTAATTGCAGCCGCAGGAGTACACCGCTCCTGACAACGAACTGAGCCATTTCCTATTGCTGCGCCTTGAGAAGATGTGCAAACTGCATGAATGCAATAAAGATGTTTTAAATCGAAAAATAGATGGATTTTACAGATGCAAAGGCGGAATCTCGATGAGAATAAAAGACGGATTTTAAGTGTAACACGAGAATTAGTAGAGAAAAGGGACAGAAAATTTCATTACTGACTTTCCAAGCCTTTATTTCAAACATTTCTTCCTCCGAATCTATTTTTTCATCCTTTTCCGCATTTTGGTCCCTTTACAGAAGAAGAATTCGAGAATGACTCGATCCGCTGGGTAACGCTAGCTCCTCTGCGGGTGCAATTAGGAGCGACACAACGCAAAGGGCCCTCAGGATATACCACAGGCGAATGCTGCGTAGCTTTGCTCCATAACGCCACGCCGCCATGTAAAGTATACAACAGTGATCTGCGCAGAATAATTAAGCCTCAAGAGCTTCAAATCAATGTAACAACTCTGAATTTGTTGCATGTTCCTATTGAACCCACAGCGTTATGTTTCTTGTCACCTAACTTAGAAATGTTGAAATAGTCGTTATCTAATCTTCTGCTAAATTTGAAACTTACTCTATTTGCCAAATCTTATTGATTCAGGTGCGCTATCTATGCCTGGAGGAAGATGCTCCGAGGCTTGCTTTAGCTCTCATGTTGAGCAACATGTATGTGCGCTCGTTCATCTCGTCAAAGTTAGGTATCGAACAGTTGCCGCAGGTAAGTTCACTTTTCTCAACGTAATCACCTAAAGATTGAAGGTCAGGCACCTAAAGGAAAAGTATTCTAATGTTTTCGTCTGCTAGCGAAGAAAGTCGATCACTTCCGCTATCACCCACCATGAACAAAGTAGGTAACAGCTTGTGGACAGTAAAGGCAAGCCTCCTGCATTGTTTGAGTACTCGACAAATCCATAGTCATTCGATGGTGCCAGCGCTCGAAGGCCCAGCATTTGAATACCGCACTTCCTCGGAGTAGAGTAGCATTTTGTCGAGAAGTCGAGCGGATACACGGTACACCTATATCGCAATTAAAATTCATCTTCGCGAACAACTGCTCCTTTCTATATGTGTTGTATCGAGTTGCGCGCCCCGTGGAGGCGGAGCCGAACTGGCAGCTTCCACTTTCACAAGTTTTGTCCGTTTTTGATAGGTCTTCAAATTTCATAGATCACTGACTAACGAGAGACTTCCGATTACTCGATTCAGTTTCTCCTCTTTCCAGTAGCGCACTCAGGATTTTCGGGGGGAGGACAAAAATTTCCCCGAATTTTTCGGAATGCTTTCCAAAATTTTTGCGAACCCGTTATTTCGAAATTTCAAAAAAAAGGGTCGTGGCGCCAGTCAAGCCCTCGAAAAATTTTTTTACAGTTCTAATTTGAATTCTCAAGTTTTGATTGTATTGATTATCTACAAGTATAATAAACATGTCGCTTACGCATTTTTATAATTCGTGTAGGTAACTTTCGAAATTTTCGCTACACATTCTTGGAGGGGGGGGGGCCTTCCGATTGCATTTACGCACTTTCCAAAAGGGCATCTTATGGCCTAATTGTTCGTATCAGCTGGCCGGATGGCATTTTATGGCCAGTGACTGAAACAAGATTTTCACTGAATACAGTATCGCATGACTATCAGATCCCTAAACGCAGCAAAAAAATTCTTTTATCTTTTCACATTATTAGTTTCGCGAGAGACGAGAATTTTGCAGTATGACAGTACAAATTCAGAAAATGTCCAAGGCAAGCTATCTCTAAGCGCATTTTACAAAAAGGAAAGATTATAAGACGATGCCAAGGTGCTAGGGAAAAACCTCATTATCAATCATCATATTCCCGTTAAACATTGAAAATTACAGTCAATAGCTTTCTTCTCACAAGTGGATTGCGATAAAGTGTTGCGTAAGGAGGTACATTTGCCGTGCTTCAATGTCGATGGTTCGAAAGTGCCTGACGGTGAGTTTCTCTTGCTGCCAATGGAATGGGCAGAGATTGAAGTGGCCAATGCGAACAAGCTACTACCATTGGATACAGTATAGAACGCTACTTCAACTCCGTTTTCATCTGCTAAACGTATTTGTAGACGAAGTTATGGGCAGTATCATTGCAGAAAAATCATACAAACAAACCGCGAAATCAGTCATGCTATTGCCTTTTTGGCTCACCGTTAGGTAGGGGCTAAATGAAATAGCCTTGTTGCATGCTTGATCCCAGGATTAAGTCAAACACAGCTCTGTATGACTGAATTTGCACTTTGCATGCGGCATGAAGTGGCTTAGAACTTTGTGCACAAAGGCGTTCAGCAGATATGGAAGACAGGTTTGAAGTCAGCGTTTTATGCTGGATCCAGTGCTATGTAGATTGTCTGGATTGGCCACTTCGACTTTTGACCATTCCTTTTTGAGATCCCATGGTGTCTGTGCATCAATCCATCGACATTTCAGGTGTGTCTTGGACGATTGAGGATCTCATGCAGATCACTGGTGGACGCCTCACTCGTGATATCTCACCACTGCAAGAACACCAAACCTGTACATTGAAAGTATAATTCGTCAATGAATTTATTTCTAATCATTCCATTCGATGTGCATTTTTGTATACAAAGGTCGAAGGCGAAGCTTAGAAGCCGAGGGGATGTCGACACAAGTGACGTCAGTCTCAGAAGAAATCTCAGATTATGATTGTCTGTTAACTGAAGTTGGACAGTTTGTTATACCTGATCAGGTAATACCCGCAAGCGTGGGGACTAGGACCCGCATACATAAAATTGAGTTCTTGGTCCAGCTCTTGCAAAGGAGTTTAAGCATTCCAGCAACTCGAGCTGACGCATTAAAATGCCTAGGCGTAACTGTTGCTTGCCAACGTAACATCAGTTTTTCCTTCTCGCTCTTCAAAGACTGTCATTGTCTCGGCATCTATTATACATTGCGACAGCCTAGTGAACTCGTCATTAAAGTCAACCCAATTTTGATGATCTAGCTCTTTTCTTAAGGGGTGCCGGAAGAGGTCAGATTTATGTGCTTGTCGTAGTAATGAAGTCGTTTTTGAAATCACAAGTTGCAAAGTGATAAATGTTAGATCTGCAGCCGTGAATTTTGAACAAGTAGTTGCAGTTTGACAGCAGCACGTAGACTTTCCTTCCTTGATGTTTTTACGATTAAAGAAACCTACAAAGTTGTAGCATTTAAGTGTATTCTTGCTAACAGTTAAATGTGGAAGATTTTGCTAACAGTCAAATGTGGAAGAATAGTAGATTTTGGCATTGCCTTATGGGAGAAATACCAAATGCATATGTAGTCGAATTTTTATCTATCGGTTATATGCCTGAGGTAGGTGAGAACTCCGTTTTTTTGTTCATTCATTATCGTAGCAGCTGTTCCAAGACATGTGCGTGCTACCAGGAAGGGTTCTGCCATTTCTAGTACTTGCTAAATTTCTTCCATCTACAGTCTATAGAATCTGCAGCTCTAAAAGCGCAGGTAGCTGAAATACGTTCTCTGCTAGAAAAAAACATTTTCCTTAAAGAAAATTGTCACAATGTTCTCGCCAAGTACCTTATATGTAATGTTTATCGGATAAGGGTGTCATGCTAGCAATGCACAGATTCACCTTTATGAGTTGTCTTGCTCATGGAACTTGTTGTAAGACTAATACTTCAGATAGATGTTCTAGTACAAGTAAAAGATTCCGGGGGTAGGCACAGTAGATGAAAACAATGTTGTAAGTGAAGTACTGTATAGTGTACCAAAAGGGGTCAAAGACGGTTTTATTTCACTCGCTCAAAATTTTTGTTCCTAGCAATTGACGTCAGAATGACATCAGAATGGATAGACAGACACCTATGACTTCGTCTTTCCAGGCTCCGAAGAAGGTGTAGATCGCCGAAATGTCCGTCATCCAATAAACTTACATCCCAATCAGGGTCAAGCGTGTTGATGCGATCCAGGACCCTCATTTACGACCCCCCCCCTTGAAGATACCCATCCGTACGACCTCCCCCCCCCTTCCCTCCTCCCCCACCCTCCCCCCTTGTCCCCCTTACCTCCCCTGCCCACATTCCTCGCGGTAACTTGCATAAACGAATGTCAATCTCAAAAAACACCCGCGTGAGAACTTCAGTGAGGTTTCGGAAGCAGAATTTCTAGGCCAATGGGTGCGTCCAGCATTTGTAGCACACATACACACCTTGAATAATGTTTGAGAATCTGCAAGTTTTTTTTGAATTTTCAAGCATACTTCGGACCAGCAAATTCGATTCCCGTAGGCAACACAAATTTTTGCACGGAGAAAAAAATGGCTTTCTTGAACAACAAAAGATGTTTTCGATTAAGAAGCTTACTTCCTACCTCATCCACAGTTTTTCCCGCGAAAAAAACCGCTTGAGCGCCGTCCAGAACGACGTCAAAAATGTGCATGAGCACGGTAGTTTGAAAATTCGTAACTAAGGCCAGGAAAAGACTGAGAGGCTACAAAGCACAGGTTCTGTAGCATAGTGCCCAGACTATCCATATAAAAAGTTTCAGCTCTTGAGGAGCAGTAAGCTCGAAAAAATTTAGATGCGACTCTCGCAAATTTAGATGCGTTCCTAATAAGCAAAAACTGGGATTTTTGAGCTTAAAATTTTGTAACTTACCAGAGAAGTTATAAAACAGCCTGCAATTTTTATGAAGGAAAGTAGGAGGATGGCCTCATTTTACAGCAGAATTACAGCCAACAAGCTTCAATAGCTTCGAAGAAATTTAGATGCGACCCAGATACGACCCCCCTTTCGTGATTTTTTGCTACCATACATAAAATTATAAGAAAATCCACAGTTAACAAAATAACACCAAATTTTGCATTGATATAGCGGAGCATCTCCAAGGTACAGATAAATCATATGGGCCCGTAAAAAACATTACAAAAAGATTCAGAAATTTATGATGGTCACAGCTGGTGAAGATATTCGCTTTTGTCGAGTGTGTGAGACTTCAGGAGGGCTTCAGAAGCAAGATTTTTGGGGAAATCGGTATATTTAGCATTTTTATCAAATCATGCATCCTTCAAAAGTGTTTTGAGCTTTTGTAAATGCTTTTTCTTGAGAATTTCTACAGATTTTTTATCTTTTTCATTCTGATTTCCACTTTTTTATAGATTTATTGTAAAGAACATGATTAATTATCTGCTTTTTGATTCCCTTTTGAGCTTAGGGTATTTTAGCCTAACTACCTTCTCTTACTACCCCCCCCCCCCCCCCAACTTGGTACCCTCTTTACGACCCCCTGTTGCGACAGCCGCATCACAAGCTTGACCCTGGTTCCAAAAAGGAAAGTCGACAGTGACGGCAATGCTGCAATCCCTAAATGATTGGACACGCTCCTTAGATGTTGGCAAAGCCACGGAGATTGTATACATCGATTTCACTAGAGCCTTTGATAAGGTTTTGCACCAAAAATTGGTTTACAAACTAGAAATGGTTGGAGTACACCCGTGTATTGTTTCGTGGATTCAAGTCTTTCTGTCCATTCGCACTTTCAGAGTTCGTGTGAATGAAGCTTTTTGCAGTCCGAGATATATGACCTGTGGTGTACTCAGGTCCTCTTTCTCCAATCCTATTCAGTAATTACACTTACGAACTACCCGAACTTGTTTGCGACGCTGGAGTTCCATGCTGTGCATTTGCAGATGATTTTAAGCTTTATAGTGATGTATCAGGCCTCGGGGGCAGAAAGAGATTGCAAAGAGCTTTGAACGTCGTGGTCAGTTGGTCAAAAGAATGGGGACTACCCATTTCCCAAGAAAAGACCAAATTACTTCAAATAGGATCTATTGATTGATTTCTTCTACTAGTTAGATGGTAAGCTGATAGAATATGTCGATGAAGTGACGGACCTGGGATTTTTGATGGATAATAAGCTCTTCTTCAACAAACATTGTTAGAGAATCGCTGGAAAGGGCATCGTTGCAGTACATAACCTTTTCAGAGCTCTTACTACTAATGATATGGAGATTTTAATTCGAGCATACAAGATCTACGTTCGACCGTTACTTGAATATGGTACATTCATTTTCAATCCTTCTTTGAGCTACGTAGCCCACCAGATAGAGAAAGTGCAAAAGAGCTTCACCAGGAAAGTGCTGTACTTAAAGGCAGGGTGGGGCAAGATTTCGGAGAGAATTTTTTTCGCTTGCCTGGGCATATCCTTCCTGCTGATTCCAGAAATGCAACTCGGACAGCACGAAAACGTCGAAAAAGGGCCTTTGCAGAGGTTCTTAATTTGGATTTTGTCGCCTGCCGCCAACGTTAAAGACGCAGAGTCTTTGTGGGACCCTACGTCTTGACTGTGTGCGGTATGCGCACTCTCGCTTATCGAACTAACTTCCCCGGTCGCCAGGGCGTTCCGGTCGCTACTTCTGAAGCGGTTTTCTCGCTTCAGAAGCAAATTGGTGCATTGCCAGTTGGGCAAGAGCCTTACCGGGACGGGCCCCTGTACTTCAAATTTTCGTTTTTGCCCGGACGCTGCCTTTAAGGCCGGTTTGTGTACAGACAATTACCGGACTTTAACATTCGCAATGAAAGGTTGGAGCTGGAAAAACTGAGCGTTAGACGATGAAAGTTTGGTCTTTTGATCACATAAAATATTATTTGGAGGTTGTCGAATGAAGGCGGATCTCTTTGAGCGCAGGAACTTTATAACGAGGGCGGTCCAAGTAAGATTGTAATATTAGGTTGAACACTAAGTTTCGCAACTGGTTTCATAACTTCCCTCTCACTCAACATGGCGCACTTAAATTTTGCCACTATGTTGGTTATTACGTAAGCTACAAGCGCAGCTGCTGTCCTACCAAATTCTGACGTCGCAGTGAGGGTTACGATAGGTGCATGGTATGAAGGGGAAAAATTCATAGTTTGACGGAACTTAAAACTTGGCATAAGGGTGTTATCCGACATGCTGATCACTAAAACGATAGTGAAATTGCGTGATAAGGGCTTTTTGTAGAATTATTGTAGGTGTACGCTATGGGGTCTCACCCTAAACAAGAAAAGGCGTTGATTCAACAAATGAATATGATATTTGCGTTCGGCAGGTCAAGAACCTTACTATGTGAAGCCTCGGCGGAATTTGAGCTTCGGACTCTTTAGTCATTGATGGTCGTCCCTAGCAGCTCTTGCGTACATCGACTCGTTCGATTTTGTGAGGACGCCAAATCTCGACGTGCCCCTGAATTTTGTTTCTTTCGTACTAGGCCAAAGGAGTCAACCTCCGGCAATAATTTGTAGACGAATCCGGATTACTGCGCATGCTCTAGGCTGCTAAAGGCTTCATTTTAACTTGAAACCCCAAAAATTCTCAAATTTCACTAGTTTTCGAAAAATGCCTGAAACTTTTCCATTTCGTGTTCAAAATTTAGACAATTTGTGCTCACTTGTAGCTCACATTGTGTTCTACATAATGCCAAAGTTCGAGTGCGCCGTGTCGAGTGAGAGTGAAGTTATCAAACCAGTTGCAAAACTTAGTGTTCAACCTAATATTTAGAACGAGAAGGAATGTGAGGAAGAACTTTTTTGTAAACAGAGTCATCCATGACCTTGATAAGCCTATAAGAATGCAGATGCTCCCAGTAAAAGCTATTTAGTTTAGAGCTATTCTTAACACATTCACGACAATACGACCCACCGGTGGGTCGACGTGTTTTGCCGTTTCGGACAGTACGACCCACAGTGGGTCATAACATTTCTGGAACTCTAGCTTTGCCAGCATACGATGGAAGTCTACAGGGTTCTGGCACACGATTGGGGACACCTTGACTAAGCCCAAGCCAGAGTGGTCCGGATGCGGGATACTGTAAAGTAATGTTACGGTAGATATATCGTAGATAGAGATAAGCTACAGACTTTAGCTCAAATTTATCGCAGAGTGATGCTGTTTTTGAAAATGCAAGTTTACATGCACGAGAAATGCAGGGAGGGCACGAGACTGATGTCAGCCCATCAAAAACTATCGATTTTATTGATTTTATCGATTTTCCGCATTATTCATCCCAGGAAGCTCAGACTTTATATACATAGGTTTTTTTAGCATGCTGATTACGAAAATAATAGTCTCATGGTCTAATACCGCCTTCTTACGTCAGTTTTTTGAGTCTTTCGAAAGTTCTACCGTACCGCTACCGTATTCCCACAGTGGGAAAGCAGCGAACAAAGTGGACACTATAATCGTGATCAGCACGTGAAATAACCTCAAAAGACAATTTTTCATGAAGATCCATAATGTTGGATTCGTACAGAATGACTACCTAACCTTACCGTATACTGCCAAAAACTGAAATAAATCATATTTTGGTAATCAGCGCCTTCGATAACCCGCCTTCTTACGTCAGTTTTTTGAGTCTTTCGAAAGTTCTACCGTACCGCTACCGTAGTCCCACAGTGGGAAAGCAGCGAACAAAGTGGACACTATAATCGTGATCAGCACGTGAAATAACCTCAAACGGGGAGATTCCCGGAGACATGTTTTAAATTTCTTCCAAAAAGACTACCATTTCGGACAATACGATCCACGGTAAGTTTGACAAAGCGAAAAAGGCTCTGGTCCGAAACGGCAGTAATCGAAAAATCGACTTTGTCGTGAATGTGTTAAGAACTATCTGCTTTCAACATCAAATCGTTCGTGACATGTGTTGTTATGTTTTGTTAATGTTTGGATGTTTCTCTTTTACCAAATATTTTTTGTTGCTATCTAGTTTCGTTTCAGCTATTCCTGCGTTAAATTCTTTTGTTTCATTGCCCACATGGGCTTGCCCATGTAACTGAATAAAAATAAAAATAACCCCTCTCGACCAAATTTCTCTGAGATTTTGACCCCACCCGGTATATCTACCGTAATAACCCGACAAAAATGGCCCTTCTATGCAAAATGAATACGATTTTCGTGATCAGCATGTCAAGTAACCCCTGTGTGCGAATTTCTAACAACAAAATCCGAGATTTTGAGCTTCTGGGCTGTTTGGTTTAAAACAGCGCCCTATGGTAACCTAAAACTGCCACTTACAGTGCCGATCAGCCAAGACTTCGCTGCTCGTTATGCCCACACCTTTGCAGGGAGGTTGTCAAAGACAAAACAGAGGCAAAACCCAGCAACAGGCCGAATAACATATGCTTACCACCAACGATCAACTCAAAGAACTCGTGCTGCCTGCAGAACTTTTTAGATTTATGAGCAATATGAGCTCGGATGCTCTCACTGTCAGTCAGGAACAAACAAATACACCGGAGTCTTCGCTATTTTGGCTCTCGCGCTCAAACGGCTGTCAAAGACGACTTGTGCCGAGCGGAGACGGCCACGGTGCCAACAAGACAGGTCCCAGCACGAAAAGTGGACAGCGATCGAATGCTTGTCCTTTAAGATGCGGCTAAATCGTGTGAGTGGGCGATGTTTTCAGGCCTTGTCGCTCCCATCATCGTCTTTCAGAGAACAAATCTTATGCTCTAATTGGGGAGTGTCTTAACTTTATGTTGTGATTTGTTGTTGTGGTCTGAAGGCTCTCGAGGGCCTTAAAATCGGCCCATCGCAGTGCCTCTGCAAAGGCAAGTTGTAAGGCGTCAACCAATTGCTTTTTTCTATCGATAAGAGGCGCCTTCCATTATTTAATCTGTTACGCAGTCTATCCAGGATCATTTTTCCGAAAAGCGGTGAATGAAACAAAACTGCTTACAGTTTGAGTTGGATGTGTGCATTGCAAATCAATTCGTTTTTTTTCAGGCCGAAGATGGAAGAAGCTGGGAGTTCTTTCCCTCAACGAACGGCACCAACGTATGTCGTATTTTATGTTTATAATGCAGGAGATTCGAAATTTTCTTGACTTATTTTGGGGAGAGCGGCTATTCTCTTTCGCTGTTTCAAATCTCTAATAAGTGTGGACTCATATGCTGAGACCACGAATGTCAAGAACGGGGTGCAGGTTCTTCTACCTGTACCTGTTCTGCGTTTTTCCACGTCGAGATCTCTTTTGAGTCAGTGTTATCATGGTTCATGAAAATCAATTGGGTAGTGGCGAACAACAGCCCCATCTTTCAAGTCTGTTTTTTTTTCGCAAATGAATCAATACATTCGCCATTGATGTCTTGCGTAACCGCACAGATCTATCTCAAATCAGATACGAAATGTGGCTTGCGCGCATCTGTGCGTTATTACCACCAGAAATTTCTTTCAAGTAATCAGTAAGTATAAATGTGCAGGATATACATAGCAATATGTTGGTTTTCTCTTTGCTGTCGTTACGAAAGCAAAGTTTGCTGCGAGGTCTTTTCACATCGTCGTCGAATATCTTGCACCAATCAATAGGTAGCATCGCCATAGAATCGCATAATCAAGACCATTTTTGTTTCCATGTATGAACAATTTTGTTAGACACTGACGCTCTGTTTATTGAATGCCAACGTGGAACAAAGCTCATAATAGTCTATATTTTGCCCTTCTTTATTTCTTCTATAGCCTGTCTGTACATGCTGGACTCCATGAATGAGGGTTTACCCTTGACATTGTCGGTTGATGATGTATTTTCAGGAGGAAGCGAGTTTCCGTAGCATGTCAAACTGACGCTCCCTACGGTGCTATTAGCCCTTCCTCGTTAGGTCAACCTAATCGCAATGCGTCGAGTGGTTTGTTGGGTAAGTTCGATTGTGCTTTTCCCTCATATCCTTCCATGTTCATGCTAGCGCTAACTGTCTTTAGCTGTCAACTCTGCCAGTACACCGGCGACTAGCTCGCGAGCCACTACTACATCGCCTGCGACCGAAGAACAAACGTTGAGAGTAACAATACAGCATTTTTCGAAGATGGTAGATACGCTCTGTTCTCCGTGTAAACGGATCAATGGAGTTCCATGGTACGTGCGCTGTGGTAGTTTGTTGATTTTATAGAGTGGATAGTGTTTTAAATGATGCAATAGCAACAGACGCAAATTTTTTTTGTCAATGGATACTTGGAGTAGCTTGTAATACAAGTAGTAATACTTTGGAGAACGCAGCAATCTTAATTCGGATTTCTGGGGAATTGTTTGTGGCAGACATTCATGTTCAAGTGGAAGAAAATCACAAGTTGTAATTTCTTCAGACATTGTTGGTTAATTCAGATTTTTTAGTCATTCAGTCAATTTTTTTTACAATCAGTCAATCATTGATCTACTTTTTCTTGAATTTTGAGTGGAATCAGCAGCACACTGTAAAACCCAGACAGTAGTGAAATGTGGGAAGCTTGTAGCTTTGCATACCAAGCAAACAGTTGTGACCAACAAATGCATCAATTAGTCGAATACTCATCTTTTGTAGTGCTTCACATTGTAATTCAGGCGAATAATGGTGATGCCGAAGCAGCATATGGTGCAGAAGAAGAACCAAAAATGCATGGGATTTTTTCTGCAGTGTTGTCCGGATAATACCTATTCAGAGTAAGCCTAACCCGTTGCACTGCTATCATGTATGCTATATCTTTAGCGCATGGACCTGCCAGTCAGTTGCGGAAATGCGACTTATCGCTCAAAAACCTGGTGTACAAAATTTTGTGCGGAAAACTACGCACGTTTATAGCGCGAAGGAAAATGACTGGGGTTATTCCTGCTTCATGACTTGGGCGGTAAGTGGTATTGTTTTGATTTAGAAGTATTTGGATCAATTATTAGTTGATTTAGGATGTTCTTGATGAAAGCCAAGGGTACATCAAAGATGATCGAGTCACCTTAGAAATTACTGTCAAAGCGGAGGCTCCAAAAAATATGATGTAAGTTTTTCGACCTACGCCGACGCAATTCGCTCTTTTTTGTCAATGCGGCTTTCCAGGTCTCGCGAAGACTTCCGACGATCTATTGATCAGTGGTACAACTTAGCTGAAATGCAACTGGCTCGCGGCCAAGTTGATTTATCTATCGAGGCAAATGCTCAAGTAAGTGCTGCAACTTGTCAACTGTGACCTAGTGAAATAGCGTTGGAAAAAGTAACACAGTCAAAAGTATCTGTGCAGACGCCCTCAACCTCGTTGCTTTTGTCATAAGAAGCTGAACGAAAAGTGATTTAGGCTCTCAAGTTTTGTAAGGATAAGGACAAACAATCTCAAGAAAAGCTGGAAGCGCAACGGGAGCGGCTTGTGAATCATAAACTTGTGGAAAGCATCCATCGGATCGAAAAGGGTAATTGGTGAATTAACTTATCTACATTTTATTTGTCCAATCCTTCAGTGAAAGATGTACCGAAAGGAACTGGGGACGCATTGCGTCCGACTTCCTTAAGACAGGCACTCACAGGCGCTCAGAAATCTGCGACTACATCGAAAGCGACTAAAGTTATAAAAAAGGAAAGACGCAATATCGTTCAGCAAGGAAAAAAGTCGGGAAATGCTTTGGCAGCAAAGTAAGCTTTCCTTGTTATGTCCTAGGGACTTCTGACTTGGCCAGTTTTCGATCATCTGAAAAGCGAGTACATGTGTAGATATATAATATTCAAGGAATGCGGAGAGGAAATCTGGAGACGGCGATGAAGACAATACCAACTCTCTTAGTTCTGAGGAAACGAAACAAGGGGCGGACAAAACCGAAAAAGTATGTTTCATAATTATTTGTGCTGTTTTCTAAACCGTGCGCTGAAGCTAAGCCCGCCTATTTTAATGTAAGGAGGTTGTGACGAGAAAGTTCTGCTTTTCCAGTGATTTTTAGATGAAAGTTTGGTTTTTTGTTTCTTTCATAATGCCATCTTTCAAAGTTTTTTAAGAAATGAAAACTTTTGGCAAAGGAGAGTGGTGAATCTATTCATCCTTCCCCCTTTTCAGGGCGAATCAAAACAAAATTTGGAAACAAAAAAGCAGAGAAGCAGAAGTCTTAGTGATAGTGACACAATGAAAATATTCAGCAAAAAAGAAATGCTTACTGATCAAGCTGTAAGAACTTTGGCCCAATCGGAAGTGCAAGCGTTTTTGTATACAAACTTTTTTAGTTGCTGGATGACGAGGACAATACAGGTGGTGGGACTACAGTGTCACCGGCGTCGGAAGAAGTTAAGCGTGATGACGCTGTCAAGGTAGGCGGTAGTCTGTTACCTTTTCCAATTTACAAGATATGTTGTGTAGAATGAGGACGAAGATCTCGATATGACAAAATCTCGCAGCTCTATAGATACGGCTACCGCACTAGACGGAAAAACTAGGAGAGAAAGGTTGGTCAATATCTGACTAACTTTTGATTTTTTTGGTTTGTATGATCTAATAATTATTCTGTTCGGGTAGTTGAGATTACGAGGAACTTCAAAAAAAATCATTATTTTTGTAGCGGAGATTTGGCACATAGTGAGGACGACTCTAGCGATTATGGCGAAAATGGAATTCGTGAAAGTAAGTCATTCGCAATCCAATTTCTGTTGTTATTATTTGCTTGATGTGATTGTTTGCTGATCTGTAATTTGATCATCTTCTATCCTTACTGAAAAACTGATACAGTGTGTGGTTGTGGACTTCACCATCATCGTGATGCGTGCCGGCATTCCTCTATTTCATCTCTTGAGCCTGAAGACGAAGAACTTGAGAATGAAAATTACGAAGTTTGTTTTTGTATTGCTGAACTAGATTGTTGATCCCCTTAACATTGAACAGCTTAAGGAGAATGTTCCGGAGCAAACAGCGGTGGAAATGTGTGAAAATGGTTGTCAAACAGAAGACAGTGGTGATATTGAAACCCCGCAGCTCAATACTTTAACGGCAACGGCGGCACCAGAGAACGAAACTATTCCATCACTAGTTACGACATCTCCTCCCGTGCAAGCAACAACGAGAGAAAGAGTAGGACTTCTCGTGTTGTTCCGATGCATCATCAAGACGCACGTTTTCAGCGGCATGCTGGTTCTGGAATCACAAAGGATTCCTCGTTGTTCCGTGATAATGTCGCAAAAATGGCTGAGTCAACAGAAGAAGTATTGCAGAAGATAATGCAAACACGGGAGCAGCAACCGGTGTGTGGCAGTAGTTTTACTGAATCCTTCGATTTCCATGGATATCATCCATCTAGGGTCCCGAAAATTTTGTTATTTCCAGCAAGTTGAGAAGATCTCAGAAGCAGACCAGCAGCGACTTCTCCAATTTTGCATCAAGAACTTTGGCATTGATAATTTTGTGAGTTCGTTATCGTTCTTAGTATCATGCTTCATAACGAAATTAGAACGCAACACATACTTGTTTTTCACTTTCGTTCTGCTCGAAACATGTTCTCGATGTCAGCCGCACACATTTAAGTATCTTTTTCGGAGTGATTCTCGATCTAATACTTATGATGCGTCGCATATCAATATGGATACTCAGTTTTTTTGTAGTGTCAGGACATGATTCCACCTGAATTGGCTGGCTCAGACGAAACAATGCGATGTTTTACTGCCACACTCAACGCAATCATGCAGAAACGACTTGAAATCATCAGTGATGTGAGTAACTTCGACCAGTTGATACCATTTACTAATGAAAACACGAATTACAGAAGCGTATATTTGCTACTTAATTTGCGGCTCAAAACCTCTCGTAATTTGGTATGGAGTCTTTGCAGCTTTCAGTTCATATCACCTTTTTAGGACCATGGCACATGTTGTCTGGCATCTGGTTTATGCACTGTGCACTCGAATCGTATCTACAAAGCTGCCGAGAGTTTCGTGAAGGTTGTGGAGCAAATGTTTGAGTCAGAGGTAGATCTGCAACCCGAGATTTTTCTTATGAAAATTCATCCAAATCTAGATCCTCACCGCGACGTTCGCGAAAATGAGTTTTATGAGTAATGTATCCAGCGAGGATGTCCCGAAGAAGATCTCGAAAGCAGCTGCAGTTGCAAACGGTGGTAAATCTGCTGGTGCGCACTTTTACAATAGCCAACTAGATTATTAACGCTATACATGATCTGCACTAAGTCTTTAACAACAGTTAAACGTTCGTCCAATCTGCAAATAGTTCTATTCAAATTTTGCAGCTCGTAAAACAGCCGCTGCACACAAGAAGCTTGCCCAATCGCAGGCAGCTCAGCAGCAACAGCGCCCAATCTCGCCGCCATCGGAGCCTCCATCGGAATTCGCAGTTTCGCTCTCAGAGGCCGATGATGAGGAAAGCATTGATGACTTCGAAGAGGTGACAACGCATGTCTTTATCATAGTTTGAGCGTAAAACATCATTCTTCCAGCTTCACAGTGCGTGTTTATCTGGTGAAGACGTTGAACAACAAATGCGTGAGCTTTTGAATGAGATCAGCCATTGTCGCGTACACGATTTGGTAACTCATTTTAATTTTCAAATTCATCGATTGTGTAAATCAGATAGCGATTGTCAAGACCTCGGCGCTTGTTCCAGATCAGTTTCATTTTAGATTCTGGATAAAATAGAGTCAATGGAGAAGGAGCCAAACAACAGTTCTATTGGGCTTCGTGCTCTTCTTGTGCAGCTCTTCAACTATTCACAGACGCTTTCGGTGAGTAAAGAGCGCCGGTATTCACTCTTATTCGTTATCTTGGACAAAAAGTTGTTGAACACAAACTTACATCTGTTGAGTAGTTGCAGAAAAGCTAGATTTGCTTAGTGCGGAAGGGTAATGAAGTTCATATCGAGATCCTCATAGAGTTAAACATGTCTAACTGAAGAAGACGAAACAATCCGGCCTTTTTTTTTTTATAAAAATAGCACTTTAGATATGATAAGACCTGCGCATGAAATTATTGATCCTAAGTTTCATGCCGTATATGCGCGCCGTTAGTGTTCACCGAAAGCAGGTCTTACTAAATCAAAAAATTAGAAGTGCGTGAGGTTAAGTGCTGCTTGCAGCATTACATGAGAATTGAAGTACTTTTGGGAATCAGGTTTGAAAAAAAACGCTGTTTTGTGGCTAGTGAAAGGACAAACACTACTGCCTTTCTAGCTGCGGCAGGATGAATTTACTAGTGTTATAGCTGGAAGTATACGCAGACATGTGCATTCTTTTATGAGATCATCTTGTTGTTAGCTCAATTTTCATCAATTCATTTCTAACCGCGAAATGCAGATTTTGAGACGGTATTCCATATAGTATTCCCACATACTCTACATCTCTCCCCCTAGCTTCTTTTGCAAACCTCCAGTTTCTTATAACATGTTTGGCAAAACCGTACACAAAAATGTTCCATCAGCTTGACTTCCCCCCTCCCTCGTCTTTTTTTTTTGAAATCTTAGTTCGCCATTTCGAAACGTAGTGTAGGTTCAAGCATATGCAGACTTGGTTCAAAAAAGGCCTGAACTTGTTTTACGTATATTCACGCTAGATTTCTCGTATAGATGCGAATATCGATTTACACTCTGCTCTGTCAAAATCTTTGGACAAAACGGTTCCAGATCTTTCGCTCAATGCCAAAGCAGTAAAATCGTGTGATACCGGGTACGACGGGACGTTTAAAGGCAGCGTCCAGGCAAATCTGGATACAGGGGTTTTCACGTGGATAGTAATTTTGGGGCCCTAACTAAGCCGCTGCCCGACGCGCAGTTCAGGTGGTGCTCTAACGGTTGAGGTATTCCCTTCGAGACTGGACCCCAATATCGTATTTCGCTTGGGTTTAATGGCGCCACGCGTAGGCGCGAAACTGATGGGTTGCGCCATGAATACATGCGAATACGATCTGGGGTCTAGTTTGGAGGCACAGCCGTTACTGAGTCACTTGCGCTGCTTGGGCAGTGTTTTAGTTAGGGCCCCAAAGTCACATTCCGTGTATAATCCCCATAGGTCCAGATTTGCCCGGACGCTGCCTTCAACATTGTGGGCATAGACTGGGAGTCAGATCTCGCGGTACTCGTAAAAACGATATATGTACACTTTTGAAATGTTTTTTTTGCAATGCCGCCTGAGTATCTTATGAAACTGCTGAGGCACCAGACAGCGGACATTTCAGTATCTGGGTGCCGTCCATTGATTTCTATCGTTTAGGAGCGCTTCAAAGGCAGCGTCCGTGCAAATCTGGAGACTTAGGGATCGCACCTGGAAACTGATTTTGGGGGCCTAACTGAGACATTGCCCGCGGCGCAGATGGTGCACTCGCGGCTGAGATATTCGCCATCAAATCAGACTTCGCTACCGTATTTGGCGGGCTTGCATTGGATAGCCTTCTAATGACCACAGGCCCGTGCAGTGCAGTACGACACGCGATACGCGCGCGAGCTAGTATTTTACTCAGCCATGCAATCAAGGTTTTTATCTATTCTTATACCTGTTTCTCATTCTTTCATGGGTGATTACGACTTATGGCTGTTATCAGTAGATATAGCTGGAAAGCCAGCCTGCGCATGGTGGTGTTACTGCTCTTGCGAGGGCCGCCGTCGTTGGATTGGACTGTATATGCTGTCGCTGAGGACCCATTGCCCACATGCTGGTCTCTGCGCAAAACCCTGAAAGTCGAGGCAAGTCGTCCGCCAACTACGGTGCCGGAGACAGGTGCCTGGACGCTGCCTTTGAGCGCTTTTTGTTGAATCCCTCAAGGAATGAGGCAGTGTCCAGGCCAAGGTCGATTAACACATTGACGACCATGCAGATTTTTAGTTGTCTGCCTTTTGGGACCAAGACCTTTTTACCCACAAGCCCTTTTTCAACTATAATTACGCATACTGCCGTCTACAGTACACCTACAGTAGATCTGAAAGGCTTACAAGAAAGGTAGAAGTCATCCCTAGATTCTGTGCAAAAGAGAGCTCATGGGATAAGTTTATCCCAAGATAGTAGTCTTTTTGACACGAGTCAAATCTTGACACACATGGTGTGTCAAGCGGTCCCACGCGGTAGTCATTGTTTGACACACCATGTGTGTCAAGCAGTCGTCAATGTGTTAAAGAATTTCTCGCCCACCTGGAATCCTGCCGTTTCCGTTTGAGATGAGGGGCCAAAACATTAAGCTGAAGCATTGTGTTGTTGAGCGCTATTGTACGCTGGTAGTATCTCATCATTTATACATCTGATCTGACACTGCTTGAGGTAAATACGGTGATGACGATAAGCGATAAGCGGAGACTTCAATAGTGCCCCCACCAGATGAAGTTCCTCCTTTCATTTCCCCAGCCCTTCTCTAACAATGCATGCTGGAGTAGAGGAATACTGTGCATTTAAGGAGATTGGTCTGCTTGTGCCACACTGTGTGTGCCGATCAGTGCAGAAATTAGAAAACGAATAATTCTAAATGAAATCTTACGCTTTCTTCTTTTAAATGTGCAGGGCTTAACTATCGACGCAAGAAGTCTGTGATTGGAATTGCAGCTGCGCACCAGTAGTGATCGAGTTGACAAACTTATCTGCCTTCCTGTCATGTGCAGGTCGTAAAAAAAGATATCGGTTTTGCTATTTTGGTTGGAGACAGGTGACATCCAAAAGGTATATTAAGTTGTCGTTGGCGGTGAACTAGCGCACTGCGCTATAAATTCTCAGGTTAGAACTCTTGTTCTGTTTTACACGTTATCGCCTGTAGAGAAAAAAAAAACAAGTTTGACCTTGTTAGGCGTACCCATGGGTTTCTCGGTCTTCGTGTTTCAAAGCTCTAGTGGCTGTCGAAATCTTATCGTTCCACACAACTTTCTTTGTATTCGTGATATGCATAGAGCTTTCATAGGAGTGTTCCTTGGTAAAGCTAGCACTCTAGGACTCTCGCGCTGCGCACACATTGCTCAACGGCTTTCTTGTTATCTCCTCATAATAGAAATAGTAGACGTTCAGAAGGAGACAAAACGCGGATCTAGTTCGTTATTCATGTGCATACAACGTTTCCGAGTCTCCTATCTGAGAATAGATTACGCATGCACTTGCCTTAAAATGAAAGAGTCTGTTCGAGAGTTCAAGGCATGCGCATAGTATCCCTCAATTTGCGATATGTATACCGCTGCTATACCTCGTGTTCTGCCTGCCTTTTGTTCTTTTCAAAGCTCTGTGTTGCTCAGAAAGAACGGGGGGTATCCGTATTTTGAAATCTATCGCGAACAATATACACGGTCTATCTCAACTGGGATCGGTCTGTCGTCCTCTTCACTACAAAGATTTTGCGGGCGCTCTGCGAGCAAGTCTTTGAGGAACCTTTCGTTTACAGTGATTTGAGCGATGGCCGTTGCTGTCATTGGCCATCGCCAGTCCCCAATATTGGGGATTGTATCCTCCATACGTATCAATTGTTGACAACTCACCACACAATCAATACGCATACGTGAAGCTGCCAACATTGGCGACTGGCGATCGCCATTATCGGCGACAGAAATCATCGCTTTTGCATGCATTTGATGCAGATCGATCGAAGGCGTGTATACTTTTCGAGGACTACAGCACCTACCTGAGGTATACATGTCAATCTGGTTCATTTTGAAAAGTGGTTGCCATTGTTTTATGGTCAAACAACAGAAAGGGATGAGTGTTCAGCAATTACACTTTGCTTTTTCTTTTTTTCGATCAGACTATCTCTGCTCTGCATCTCCAACCTACGGCACGGCTCAACATGCAACAACATGTTGGCAGAACATTTTGGTCCTCAGCGCCAACATGTCGTTGCAGGTTGCCAACATGTCGTTGCAGGTTGCCAACATGTCGTTGCAGGTTGCCAACATGCCAACACGTTTCGGCCCTCAGCGCCAACATGTCGTTGCAGGTTGCCAACAGGTTAACCATGCATGCCGCAGGCAAGAGACGCAGAGCAGGGATAGCAGCATCGCGAGGACCATACGTTTGCTGTACGTTTGATAGATCTGCGCAGCGGCTGTAGGCTTTTGCGCTTTGCTTATGCTTGCATCATGCAGGTTGCGTGCCTAGTGTCGTTATACTGTGCAAGACTGCATGATGCAACGCCAGTGCCAATGTCCGAGTATATGTAAAGCGGGGAAAATTATGCGACAGGGCTCTACCCGCAAAATTTTGGTGAACTCACACGCTTATCAAGCCATGCCATAACATGCGGCATAGTAGTCAGTTACAGTGACATTTGTAAATTAAAATGTCTCCCCGGCACAGCAACAAGTAGCAGTCTTTGTAGATCTTAGCGGAACTAATCCTTTCTCTCTAAACTTCTTGAAATATTTTTAGAATTGCAGAGTTATTTTCATGGGTCTTGTTCGAAATGAGCAAGTTTCAGGTGACTGGTGATCGTATGGAAACCATGGTAGCTCAGGCTAGAGAGGTCCAACAAATCATCCAGGGACCAGATGCCATGAGGTGAGAAAGTGGCTTGACTGAGGGAAGAGAAAACTATGATTGTTGTTCAGAGCAGCTGAGCAAATGAAGAGGAATGAAGAGAAATTGGCAGAGACGGAAACGGCATTGAAACAGGCAAAAGCAGATCTGGCTAAGGAGCAGGAGCACAAAAAGAAAGCAGAGCAGCTTCGCCTGACTGAGTCATCTAAGTTGAAAGAGGAGACGGCGAAAACAGAACAACTTACTGCTCAGTTGAAAGAAGCGCGAAATAACCTCAAAAAGATTGAGAAGAAGAATAAGCAGGACGAGTAAGTTCTCACTGTAGCTAATGGATTTCGTAGGAGTAAGCACCCCCGCTACAGATTGATGCATCATGTGTGTGGATGCTTTTCCGAAAACGAATGACTAATAGTTGGGACCATTCACCTTTTAGGACACGCATAGGTACTCTAGAAGCTGAGAAGTTTGACCTGGAAGATAAGGTGAAATCTCTTAAAAAGGAACTAGACCTAGTCAAGAAGAAAGCTGCAGAAGATAGATCAAAAGCAAAGAAGGAGAAGGTGAATTAATGATAGATGGTGTGAATACCTCATATGATTTTTTATATATTTAAGGAGCGAGATGCCGAGCAAGTGCGCCGCCTGGAAAGTGAGGCTCTAGAACGTGAAGCCGAGCGTGATCGGGAGAGGCAGCAGCATGACGATTTTAGAAGAGATGTGAAGAACCGTGAGCAGAAGTGGGAGAAGGTTGGTTTCAAAGTTTGGCAACTGTTATTGGGTTGTTGGAAACAATAGTGATCGAGGAGCATTCAAATACGACTCGTAATGTCAAGTGGGACCTGTGCCGATGATCACAAGTTCGCAGTTTCTTGTCTGCTGTGTTTTCCTCTTGAGGAAGTTGAAGAGTTTTTATCAAGCTGTTCTGCGGTAGCATTGATCAGAGATTTGCAGATGTCTGTGCAATGTCCTTGTACATTCATAGGCAGTCGTTGCCCGAAGTCTGTTTTGTTCACTTTGTGTACATCGTTATTGCGTATGAAAAGTCTTTTCTGTGAGAGAGCGAAGAGGGGAGGGCATTCGTAGTAGTGAACCATTTTCGAGTACAGCCTCCCGCTCTGTTCGGTAAATATGATATCAGATTGGCTGCTCATTTGATCCTTCTCCTATAAGTGTATACGATAAGTTTGTTATATCAAAATATATTCAACTCTTAGTCGCTTTTTCATTTATGGATTCCGTGAAAGAATCTATCTGATGTTAGTGAAGTTTGCGCCATTTTTGCCCATCTTATACCCGCAATGGTTCCAATTCTTCTCGTATTTGCGAGTTTTAGGAAAGGAAACAGCATATGTCTCAAATAGCGGCTCTGATGGAACGTGCTCGATCAGCTGAAGTTGCACAAGTAGGAATGATGTTAACAGCTGGTGTCACTGCGTTGGAAAAAACGCGTGATGAAGCAGCGCTCAATCTTGCTGAAGCCGAAGACAATCTCAAACGGTATGACAGTTTGTATAGTTTATTGTAGGTCCTACTTGCAACCGCTTTGTATACCAGGATGATCGTGAACCTCAATTTTGAATGTTCAGCGCTCGTACTCATTCCGATATGGAGACAATGCGTCGGAGCGTGTCTGAGTGGAAGTGTGCACACGAAGAATGTATCTCTGCTATCTCCCAAGCACGATCTGAGTTCGAAGCAGCATGTGAAGCAATACGCAAGGGACAGCGAACACTTGCGCAGTTTACTGACCTAAGGGTATGTGATAAGACCATTTTTTAAGATGGACACGGTAGCGCATTGTCTAGGTTCCCCCCGCCCCTGTTCTTCCGAAAGTCGTGCGTTTGCCACCAGTACAAGTTGTTCAACCATCTACCCCAGCATGTCCTACCACTACAACATCTGTTTCTTCTGTGATTCAACCGCCACCAGCTGGAGTTATAGGCCAGCCAAGAACTCCGCAAAGTAGTCGTTACTCATCACACGGTAAATTTTTTGAGCGAAAGACCGGCCTTATTAGATTGGATTGTTTACAGTCTCACCACGTGATGGGAGCTCATCGAGCCATGTGCCACAATCGCCATCGTCGTCATCAAGATCAGGAAATCTTTCTAGCGCCCAACCACCAACTGGGCAATTGTTTGAACGTTCGCCAATGAAACAACCACTGCCAATCGGTGTTCGTCCCGGCCCTGTACCTACCCCTGCAACACTACCGATGGATGACTCAGCAGTTCCATCTGCTGCTGCGCCAGCGGCATCACCATGGTCGTGGTCGACACCGCTTGGCAATCTAGCCGACATTCGCCCGCTGAGACCTTCTTCCGAGCAGGCTCACCCGTTGCTCCAACAACAGACCCACCACGAGTTGTGGAGGAACGGCGCGTCAACGGACTCCACACAGGTATGTTTCTAACGATAAGATTGAATTTCTTTCTACTATTTAAACGTGCACATGCTACTCAAAGCTTCTGGACTTATTAAATTCTCCGTTAAAGGGATCACGCAGTGCACTTGTTACCCATATTTGCTGAAAGTACGGGAAGATCTGAGGAAATACCTTGAACCCATTAATGAAATCAGTATTCAGAAGCAGTATTCAGAATTATCCTGAGCTGTGTTCATAGTATAGAGAGTGACTAATCTCGCCTGCATATAATTTATCCCGTCGCCTATTTTCAGCGGTTCTCTTATGGGTTGACAGAAGTCGAGTTTTGCTCAACGAAAATTGTCTGAATGTCCTCGGACCTGTTTCCGATCACTTTCGGCTAGTTTCTCGCTGGCTTGTCGTAAGAGCCTAAAATCTTTGGCAAACCACGATTGCTGCGGGCAAGTTGTAGGAAGAAGGATTTCTTTGCCTTATTGAGCTCGAGTCTGCGCTAATTTGTGGGAACGGCTCATTTATCGCGGCTTTGAGCTTTTAAATAGCCACTTTCTGTGCTCTCTGCTATATTTGGAAGTCCAAATTCCTTAGAGAGAACTTTTGAACAGTCTCCAAAAGCCTAGTTCTTGTACTTTTTCTACAGTTCTATTCTTAATAGCTGAATATCTCTCCTTTGGTGCATAATCTTCTGTTTTCATGTTTATAGTGAAATTTTCGTCTCGAGGATCTCAACAAGCAAGACTGGGAGACTTAGTAGGGATAGAAACCATTGTGGAGCTCTCTTGCTTGCGAAAACGTACATTTCGTTATTGATATGAATTTCATTCATATCTATAAAGATTTCGTTTAGATAGCATTTTTTATCTTCATAGACAAATCCGTATATTGTACTAGTTGGCTTCCCCCGGTCCAGCCCGGGCCGTGTTCCCTTCACCTGCACTGCAAGCCCCCTCCCTATATATTATGGATGACTCACTCTGGGACATCCGCTTCAAACCGCATCCTCGTGATCCTGTGGTGAAAATGAGCTTCACCGCCCTCCTTTCACGATTATGGGAAAATGCTTGATTCAACATGATAAGCCTTCAGTTCCTTAGAAAAGCGTAAACAAATCAATAAATCCATAGAAGGACCCAACGAATCGCCGCAAAAAGTAGCCTATCATCTGCGCAGGGGTCGAAAACGTGTGTGTGTAAAGTTTCAGCGGAATCGGTTCAGCGGTGCGCGTTTCTATAGCGCACATAGCCTCCAAACTCAAAATTTTGGCTTTTATATATATAGATGATCATTATGATCTTGAAGTTCCTTGTTTTTTTTACCAAGTGTTTAACAAATTTAAGCACTTGTGTTTCTATAGGCAACTTTTCGTTCTATGAGTAGTGATTCTTATATGCTTTTGCTTGGACTGAAGAAGCTAAGATTACCTATAATCTCTGACGAGACTTGAATATGAATATTAGCTGCTATCCATTCTGCCCAGTTCTTGCAGGTTTCTCCTGATTGCAAGCTTTTACAGGTACGTGCTCCCCCTGGCTATAATCTAGGCTGGGGAGGTGTCAACGGAAGTTCAATAGGCTCAACAGCGCAGCTCAGTCAGAACAGTTCGTTCTGGAGAGCTTCATCGGGAAGTGCAGCAGTTCCGCCCGGTCAACAACAATACAAGTACTCCGCTGCCGATAAGTATCCCATGCAGTACTTTGATAGCTGACTTTTCTGCTGATATGTACCAGATTGTCTCACACATTCATTTACCACCATATTAAAGTAATTTTATTAGTCGCTTATTTCGTTTCGTAGTCATCGCCCCCGTGCGAGTCCTATGTTGAGTTGAGTTGGGATACCGCATATATGTTTACAAATGTTTAATAAATCTTCTTCCTATTAATTTTTTCATACTGGTATGAACAGATAGCTCGACAGATCTGTCAAAGGTAAATGGCAAGGTTTTCGATCAGGAAGGAGAATAGGATCGATGAGTTCCAGCATATTCGCAGCCAGTTTGTTGTCCAAGCGGGAAAGCACAGAGTACCATATATAAGAAAGTTTAAGACAGAATACTGTAGGTTCGTTGTTTGTCAATTCTCACTTGCTAGATATGTGGTAGTCGCATCGTTTGCTTGTTCCAGTGCATGCTGAATACTTTTGATCACACTTATAATAGCGGTAATAGTGTCTGCTGTTTTGGTGCTTGTAACGAAATTTATAGACCGAGTTCCAGCGAAGGTCTTGAGCCCAGTTTCGGCGTAGCAAATGTCAACAGCATATAGGTCCGCCCTTCAAGAGTACGGGTGGATTTGTCGCGCGTCAGACGAATACATGGGCTTTAGTTCGCAAAAGTGGGTTTGTACCAAGACTTTTTCAAAGTTAATTAAAGAATTTTTTGACATTGAAATCTGCAAACACTGGCCTTCGACTCAAACTGTCTCCATCTATTCATGCAGAAACGGATGACGTGAAATGTGGGGCCCTAAAAAGACACTGTCCTTGTGGCAGTGCAAATAATTAATCCACGGCCAAGAAATTTGCCTCCAGACATGTCCTCAGTACCGCCTTTAGTTGAAGTTCATTATTTCGCGTCAAGGTCAAACGTGTGATGCGACCGTCGCAACGGGGGTTTGTAAAGCGGGCATCCACGGTGGGGGGGGGGGGAGCTTCGGAGAAAATCGAATAGCAAGTAATTATTTCATGTTTTTAATAAAAATTCCATAGAATGCTGCGTATCAATGTATAAAGTAAAGACTGTTGGCCTCAAGTGCCACTGAAAATTCGAGAAAAAAACACTTTCAGAAGCTCAAACATTATTGAAGTAGTGTACCTGAGGATTTCGGGCTGTTTCGTTGTGTCTCCATTGACTTACAAAATTCCAATCTTAAAATTTCTAATTTTTGGTTTCCAGGATCGCATCTAAATTTGCCAGAGTCGCATCTGAATTTTTTCCAGCTCACTACTTTTGAGTAGCTCTAACTTTTCTCTTCATTGTCTGGGCACTCTGTTACAGCCTGTTCATTGCAGTCTCTCAGCTTTCCCTAAGTTCAACTGCGAATTTTCAAAGTACCTTGTTCATGCACGTTTTTGACATCAGGGCTCGGCACGAGGTGGCTTACAAGCAAGCTGGATATCGTTTTTGGGACGAAAAGCAAAGGGGGTTTCGTTTTTGTGACCGAAGAGACACGGAAAATTGGCGACGGCGACCTTTTTTTTTTTAGTCGACGTTTCGTTTTTTGGGGGATTTTGGGGAATTTTTCAGGTTTTTAGAGGAAATTTGGTTGAGGGTCAAAGGGGACTTCGTAAAAATTCCCAAAAGTCAAGGGGGACTTCGTTTTTTCCATTTTCATCTAGCCACCTCGTGCCGAGCCCTGTTTGACATCGTTTGAAAAGACGCTGAAATGTATTCTTTGCGGGAAATTCTGTGCAGAAAATAGGTGAGCTTTTCAGTGGCAAACAATCTTTATGCTTTGATTTTATCATTTTTTCTCCCTGCTAAAAATGGTGTCACAGACGGAGAGCGAACCAAAACTATCATCATAGTCTAAAACGTTCTTCTTTCCAGGACTACAATGAACGCCTTTCAGTACTCATTCAGCCAAACATGAATATGTTAGATTCATATTTATATTCATATAGGTAATTACATTACACAGTTGTAATATGCCATGCTAAGAAAAAAAACTAGTAATTGGAGAGGAGAGTGATATATGAAAAATATGTATAGCATTGAGAAAATCCAAGCTTTGGTTTCATAACGTTGAAATTTTTGTCTATATTCTAATGGTAATCCATAATATGCATCTTACACACTATAGAGAAGAGTGCTTCGATGTGTACGATTTCTAATTAAGGTCTATTGGCATACTTTGAGCTCATCTGACAACATTCGTTATCGTTTCACACCGCAAAAGCGAGGAGATGAGGGAAGCGAGCGAGGAGGGAGGGGGAGTAAAGTGGGGTATGAAGGGTCGTAAAAAGGGTCTCGGATCGCATCAACACGCTTGATCCTGTCTCGCTGCTTTTGTACAGGGACGTATCGGTCGGTAGGGGGCGGTCGTGTCGCAAAAGTCTTCGAAAATCATTTCTGTTGCGGCTTCTTCCATCGGTTACAACGTGCTCTAGGCTTGCCTGGATGACGCCTGTGAATCGTCGATTGTTCCAGATGCTGAAGAGGTTCTCGCTTAATCATGTAACGCGCAGGAGACACTGCTTTGAGTACTAAATTGTAGGCTGTAACTATTTAAAATATATTAGGTTAAGAAAGTTCTGCCAATTCTTCTCATAAGTATCAAATGCGATTGCAAGGGGCTGGTTCGGAATGCGTTTTTGATGCGCGATGACGTCCGCCACCAGATACATTGTTATGAAAAAGCAACTTTAATCTAGGAAGAAGTACCCAGAAATGATAGTAATTCGTTGTACTCAGGTCTGCGAAAAGGCACATTTCAGATTATAGACGTACAGAACTTGTAGGAGCTTCATTAAATAGCTTTTATACATTTTCGGTTGACGCGACATCCGACATCCATCTTCGGTACGTAGGCCTTTCCCCAAGCAAGAAATATCTCGATTTTCGAAAAATGGGCTCCCCACCTGTTTCGAAACGCAGTCAGCGCGCTTTTTGAAAGAAAGCATGATTTAATCGGTAGTCTAAGTTAGTACACATGATCAAAATATCATTGATTGACTCTACTTATAATCACGATATAGATAAAACAAATTAGCTCAAAGCAGTGCCCGCGCAAGAAATTGAGATTTTTTGCTTACCTGGGTCTAATCGCTATGCTGAATCCTAAAATCCACACTGAAGAGCGCGAAAACGATGAAAAAGGGCTCTAACGCAGGAGGCTACTCAGCAGGTGGGTGGGATCATCCACCCTGTGAAGTCACTGAAGTCACCCTCCCAACCTCCAGAGTGACTTTCCCATCCCGGCTTCAAGTCAGCGTTCGTGCTTGGCCTGCGATGTTAAAGGCAGTGTCCCGGCAGATTTTGCACCTCCACCCTTCTGCATGTTTTAGGCCTTTTCGCCACGTAGAACCCGAATTTGAGCTTTGAACGGCTGAAAAGGCTGATTTTGGGGCGTTTTCCTAATTCCAAAAAAGCAGCTTGGACGAGATTTCTAATGGAATGTTGGGAGGTCCTCAGGCGAAGATCCTGCCGCCTGTAATTTTTGCTTTGGATGGCATGCACCATGGGGGGAGAGCGCTCGTGGGGTCCCGCGCCGAACGGACGGGGAAGGCCGTCCGAGCGCGCGTCAGTTGGGGTTGCGCGCGCCGGTTCAGGGGCCATTTTCTCAGCCCAGGGGGGACATCACCCCGCCGGACTGCGCCTGGAGGTCGGTGGGGTGACCAGCAACCCCACCACATGTATATCCCCCAGGACCCGAATCTGCCGGGACACTGCCTGAGATTAGGCCCAGGTGAGCAGAAATTCTCAAAATCGACTTCTTGCCCGAACGGTGCCTCTAAAGATATCTTTTGAAGACCTGCCACTTTACGTAATACTTTACGAGGGTTGCGTAGCAAGTGGTACCCGGGCAGCCGACTGCTGCCGCAGCCAGCCGCTGAAGCTGCCTGCAAAGCCGCAGCCAGCCGCTGAAGCTGCCTGCAAAGCCGCAGCCAGCCGCTGAAGCTGCCTGCAAAGCCGCAGCCAGCCGCTGAAGCTGCCTGCAAAGCCGCAGCCAGCCGCTGCAACTGCCTGCAAAGCCGCTGCAAATGGTACCGTAACTACGCTCGTCATCTAAAACTCTTGCTGTGAGCTTTCCTCGCACCATCGCTTTGACTACTCAAAATTACTAGAATCTGAAAAATTTAGGAAATTTTCAGTTTCTGAAATCGTTTTTGGCTTTTAGCGTCGGGTTACGGACGAAGACATTTACAGCAATATGTTACGGACATAACAGTAAGATTAGTCTATTAAGATTTGATTTGATTTTATTATCTAGCGATGTTAGGCGAGCTATATAAGCTAGTGGTTGGTCAGTGATAAAAGGTGAAAGCCACATATGCTGATATGAAAAGAAAACCGTACATCACCAAGAAATTAGAGTGTTTTACTATTTTATACAGTTGCCGACAAGAGCCTCAGGTTCCCTTAAGTGGAAAATTCACCCTCCAAATATGTTAGGAAATGAAGAAATAATAAGAGAAAAATTTTGAACTCAGAACCCGTTGCAAATTAAAAATGATCCAAAATTGAAAAGAACCCCAATAACCCTCAATAACTGCTTCAACGAAACCACTTCAGTCGAGCGCACTTTTCATGAACATTTCAAAATTCAAAAGCACTTCAAAATCTGAAATACTCATGGAAAAGTTTGTTCAGTTTCCTGTTCATTCATTTCCCTAAGTGTTTGTAATTTTTTGGAAACTTTCCTTTATAGTTTTGCATTCGACTGCATGATTCAAGAAATTGAGAATTTTTTCTGGTCAAGATGATAAAGATATCGGGGATATCATACTATTTCTGAAGCTGATATCGCCCTTAGCTTGACGAGGTGATTTGCACCGTGCGCGGCAGAGTAATGTGAAGGTGCTCTTCGCCTAAATCATCCACACAGAGTATCCCGAAAGGATGTATACAAGCGTAGTTAAAGGCACCGTCCACCCAGAATGAGGTCGATGAAATTTTGATGCCTAATAGTAGTGGGGCCCTCAACTGTATACTTATCCAACCCGCGGTGGCAAAAGTTGCTTCCGAAGCGAGAAAATTGTTTCGAAAATCGCTCGGATGACAGATTCGCCACGTTGGCTCCTCTCCTTTGAGTGGGCGTGACGTTCGTCCCGCCCATGCGTGCGCGCCCAACCAATCGCCGTTCCGAAGAAATCGCTCTGCGGGTTCTGAAAACGGCTTTTTTCTTGGCTTTCGCTGAATTCCGACTTGATAATCGGAATCAGGGGTATGAGAAGGCCCTGGAACGGCAAAAACATGAAGGTCGAAGTTTTGGGTGGACGGTGCCTTTAAGGTACCATCTGCAGTGGCACTGTCGAGCTCTGGGCGGTTGGCTGCGGCAGCAGTCGACTACCCGGGTACCACTTGCACGCCTCCACTTTGCAAGAGAGAGAAAAGAAAATGCTTGCGTAAGCCATAAGTCAATTTTTGGAAATCTACCTGGAAATTTGAGAATTTTATCAGGTGTGTCAGGGTCGGGCATGCTTGGTCTGCAGGAGTTTTGGAACGATATCCTTCCTAACTCCGCAAATTTTTACAAAATCCGCACTGACGTGGTAATGAGTAGGAAAACATTTTAAACAACAGCAAAAACAAGAAATAGTTGTCGCCAGTTCAAAGGATGCCTTGGCAGGCATGTGATTGGAGCGCCATATCTATCAATAAGTTTATCTATATTATTTTGGCTCAGAAAAGAGGAGAGGCAATGCTATGGTTTGCTCTTTCCACTATATGATGAATTTTTGAGCGTTCCAATCGCCCACGATAGATTATTAAGCGTTCCCATCGCCAAAAAAGGTTCAAAACTCATGTGAACTCTCTATCATTTATTCTCCGCAACCTAGTTGGTTTGGTGATGGCCTAGAAACCATCAAATTTGGGGACGGGTATTAGGACATATAAGTTTTTGAAACTTTATGCGTAGTGTAGTTTGGAGTAATAGTGTGTACACATAGCCCAAATTTGGTGTCATGTAATTGCTTGTGTGCAAGTGGAAATCAAATCTTTGCTTCTTCCCATTTAAAGTATTCGATCTGCAAGAACCATTCGTGCTGTCCACCACTTCCAGGAAAGTTTTAAAGAAGTTTTTCTCTATGCATGGAAGGGATGTGCAGTAAAACTAGTGCGTCGTGAAGCAGAGTGACAAACCGATGATTTTATGTAAACTTCTTTGATAAGTTGATTGTAATTCGGGAACTAATTTTCTGACATATTTATCTTTAGTGAAATAAGGAGTGTTTTTCCCTACAAAGATAACTTACAATAATGTGATAAAGCAATTCGCG